GACTTCATTAGGCTGCTCACTGGTAAGGAACAAGATAAATTACCGAAAACCATAGTTATCGGCACGTAAAACCAATAGATGGGAAAAGAGTGAAGTGAAAAAATTAAAATTTCCCTACGCTATACACGTGGAAACGATCTACGTCTGATCTCACGCGATTATTTCTAAACTATACAACATATCTAAGGGATAGGGAAGCTGGAAACATTGAATTTTCGGATAAATACAATTTATTCTGTAACCTATTATTGATTCCATTTGAAAGAGCTCGTGAAGCTCTTTCAGGATCGGTAACCAGTTTTTCGATATCTTGTATAGTTTAGAAATAATCAAGTGAGATCAGTTATCGTTTCCACCACAGATCACAGAGATGTGACAAGGGGGCGGGGCCGGTGTCGCAGCAATATGCCCAAAAACAAAACACATTGCTCGTGACAGCAATGATGACAGCAGCGACGTCATAATGTAAACAGTTTACATTGCTTGCGTAGTTCGTTCGTTCGTCGTTCGTTCGTTCGTTTCAGCCGAAAGACGTCCACTGCTGGACAAAGGCCTCCCCCAAGGATTTCCACAAAGACCGGTCCTGCGCCGCTTGCATCCAGGTACTTCCCGCGACCTTCACCAGATCGTCGGTCCACCTAGTGGGAGGCCTGCCCACGCTACGTCTTCCAGCTCGTGGTCGCCACTCAAGAACTTTCCTGCCCCAGCTTGCGTAGTACTAAAGATTATTCGAACGTTGAGTACTGATACCGCAGTGGATAATGAGCACATATTTTGATTACTTTGTGTGTGTGAATTTCTAATGCGACACTGAGTTTCGAACTCAGCGCATTAGTTGGTATCTCTCTATGGTTTCCACCCTGTGTGCTTAGGAAATAAATGACTTATGAAACAATGTTTTCTAGCGTTGGCGCGCAACGAGAGCTTTTCCTCAAGCCTGCCCGCCAAGACATCTCAGGCTCTGTCGGCCATCATCCCCAACATACCGCAGTTGGTGGTGGAAGTCGTCAACATGATCGTCAGCGGAGACGTAGACGTGAGTATTAGTCCAGAAGTAATTAAGGCTGAGTTGCACAACCTGACTTTTACCGTAACTATAACGATAACCGGTGCTTTTTGTATGGAGTTTGACAGATTTTGACGTTTGTGAAAGTTAAAGTAAGACGGTGCAACCCAGCCTAATGCTCGTTTTCACCATCAATCCATAATTTTTAAGTGATCCCTCTGAAAAAAAAAATCCTGTTAGGGGCCATCCATAAAGTACGTCACTTTCATGATTTTTTGACCCCCCCTCCGTCCCTCCCTAGTGTGACGTCACATGTTTTGCAATTTCACATCGAAAAATTATTAAATTAGCAGCAGTTCCGAAATTAGTTTTATTTCCTTTAAAATTAAGTACTTTTTTTTATGAAATCAACATTATATCAAATATTTGAAACAATTGAAATGTGATGTCACGAAATTTAGGACCCCTCCCACCCCTTGTCACACCATGTCACACTTTGTCAACCCCCTCCCCCCCTCTTTACGTGTGACGTACTTTATGGATGACCCCTTATGTGTTACCATATTATGTATCACTTAACATTAGGGATTGATGGTGAAAACGGGCCATAAATGTCCTGCTTTTGAATAACCTGGGAATTCTCGGGTGTATACATTATTTTTGCTAACATACATGTTAAAATGTATGAACTGTATTATGTATGTGACTTTGTTGGTGTACCTAATAAATAAATAAACATACTACATACTTGTCGTCATTTGGGGCAGATTTATTAATGTATTTTTTCCTACAGCTGCAGCCAATCATCTCCCTAATGAACACCGAACCTGCCTGGCCATGTGGTAGCAGCGTGACCGACGTTCTACAACTATCGGCCGGCTCTAAAGAAGCTGTCACAGCTGCCGAGCGCGCCATGTGTGTCGACAACGGCTTGCAGGACGAGTGGGCGGAGTTTGTGAAGGACAGACACATTTCGTTATACGTGAGTATACTATTATAGGCGAACTTGACTTTTACTGGTTTGGTTCTTATTGGCGGTCAAGCTGTAGATCCTGGTTACACAGGAGTTGCAGCGGTGAGAACGAGAGGTGGGAATAGTCCCGTAATGAACGGTGAGTAGGCTTTGGTCGTGTAGCAGCAGCGTGACTGACGTATTACAATTTAACTGTCGGCCGGCTCTAAAGAAGCTGTCACAGCTGCCGAGCGCGCCATCTGTGTCGACAACGGACTGCAGGACGAGTGGGCGGAGTTTGTGAAGGACAGACACATTTCCTTATACGTGAGTATACTGTTAGTAAGAAAGTTGTAGCCAATCGCTTCCCTAATGAACACCGAACCTGCCTGGCCATGTGGTAGCAGCGTGACCGACGTTCTACAACTATCGGCCGGCTCTAAAGAAGCTGTCACAGCTGCCGAGTATACTGTTAGTAACTCTCCTAAAGCTGCAGCCAATCGTCTCCCTAATGAACGGTGAGTCGACCTGGCCGTGTAGCATCTGCGCGACCGACATTATCATGGAATTCCAGCTAAGATTTTAAATTCCTTTCTTCAGAATCGGCCGAAGTATAAAACATTAGTTAAATTACTTAGGTCAGATATTTTATACAAGCCATCCCTTTAAATGTTGATGATTTAATTTCTACTGCCACTTTTCAACACCGGTCTATTACGTTATCCTGAAATGATATAGTGACAAGGTGTAAATGGTACTTGCCCCAATACTAATAAACAATTTTAACTTCCAGAATGCCAGTACATGGAACAGCACAGCCTTCGGTCCGCACGTGTTCCTGCAATTCTCGTCAACCTTCGACGCGCTGGTGGAAGATACGACCCTGATAAAGGAATTAGTGCTTGAGCTGGTCAACGAATCCAGAACTGATGCGCCGTTGACGATAGTCGGCGCGTGGAAGTATGCCGCTGGGCTGTTTGAAGGGACTGACAGGAATGACACTTTGAGGTACGTTTAAGTCTTCTTCTGCCTCGTCTTATCCCGTTACGCGGGGTTGACATTCCCAATAATGTGCTGCCATTTATTTCGATCAATTAGGTATAGTCTGGTCCGTGAGCACGTAGAATTTTGTCCAATGACCCCTAGCTACCCATCCTTATCGCTCGCGCGTAATTATGTTGCTGTCGCGCTCGCACACTCACTGCGGGTGCCAGTCGCACAGTCGCGACAGCAATATAATTACGCGCGAGCGATAAGGATGGGTAGCTAGGGGTCATTGGACAAAATTCTACGTGCTCACGGACCGGGCTTTAGAGTGAGCTTGGATTTATTAGAGGGGCACTTTTAACTTCTGACAAATATGAATCTTTCTTCTAGTTTTAATCGAACACTACCCTAAATACATATCTGTTTATCGTTATAAAGGTGTTTTTGTTGCGAAATCCTGAGACAGTGATAATTTCAACGCCCTAAGGCATAAAACTTAGATCGACTAAAATATTTAAGACATTAAAAAATATCTTATTTTTCTCTGCATCCCAGGAGTATGTTCTCAAACATCGACGCCCTCCTCGAAAGCATCACTACAACACCTCCCGTGCAATCCGTCAGCGCCCTTTGGGAGGGCTACGCCAAGTGTAAACCCTCTGAAGGCTGCGGAGACTTGCGGAGGGCCGCGCTCAAGTACTCCTTCCAAGCTGTGTCGGTTGTACTTGATAATGTGGCTGGAGACCTGCTCACGTACTTTAAAGAAGTCAACGGTAAGATTATTAGAAACATTAGCGAGTGCATCACTACGACACCTCCCGTCCAGTCTGTCAGAATGGCTTATCTGGAAGTCTTTAAAATAGACTTCGTACGCAGGTTGGCCGTAGTAAGGACAATCTGGTCAGGTGGGGATTCTTGGATGGCTTAAACATGGAGTGCAGGTGCGGTTTTGTTCCCCAGTCGATGAAGCACCTGATGTCATGCCCTGAGTGCCCGAGCAACTGCACGCAGGAGGATTTAATGAATGCTGCTGACAACGCCACTCTTGTGGCTAAGTTTTGAGATGACACTGTGATAAGAATTACTAGATGCATTTGCAAGTGTTTCGACACAACTCCTCTCGCCTAGGTCGTTAGCGCCATTTGGGAGGGCTTCGCCAAGTGTAAGCCCTCTGAAGGCTGCGGAGACTTGCGGAGGCCCGCGCTCAAGTACTCCTTCCAAGCTGTATCGGTCGTGCTCGATAATGTCGCTGGAGATCTACTTTTTTTTTTTTTTNTTAAAAAAGTACATTCTTTGTTTTTATTATTATTTAGGTAGTTAAATACTGCACAGTATTTAGTACACCATTTTCTTTATTTTCTTCCATCATACACAAGAATACGCGTGCGCGAGTCAATGTTCGCTCGTATGTGAGGCCTTGTCGAATAGTATCCTGTAGGTGGGCCATCGTGCGTGTTTTGTTTTCGATGTAAACTCGCGGAGATGAACAGGCCTGGTATAGGTAACACAGAAACGCTTCTCGATCCCACCGCTGCAACTCCTGCAGCCACAGGACGTCCACTGCTGAACATAGGCTCCCCCAATAATTTCCACATCGCCCGGTTGATAGCGGCCTGTATAACACCACCATACAGCAAAATGTTGACACGGGACTACTCTCAACTCTAGATCTCACCGCTTTAACTCTTGTATGGCCAGTACAGTTTGACCGTCAATAAAACCTCAACCAATAAAAGTCTAAATTGTCCAGGCAAAATATTGACGTGACGGACATTCACTAGAGGATTGCGGAAGCGGAGAGCTTAGCCTAGTAGCTTTAATCTCCGATAGGGACTAGTTGTTGTCATATAACCGTTAAGATTTAATTCAGTAATGATACTTGAGCGTGTTTATTGGTAAAATGTGATATGAAAAAGCTAATACGGATATAAGAATTTAAAAAAAAGCCGTCTAACTTTAAATTAGCGTTATCTTTTGAACGGTAAATTAATACAATATTTAGAATATTAAATTAAAAACACTGATGATAACAAAATTCTGTTCATTTAATCGCAGGTTAGAACAAGAAAGAAGAGACCACGAAATGGCTGTGCGACTTGCGAAGGAAACGAACGGACACGTCGAAGGATCTCCGCCCCAGCTTAGAAGGTATACAAATTGTTTAAACATTCACGTGTACAAAGACCTAGCAATTTTTACGAAAACATGACGTTACGTTTCAAAAGTACGGCTCGTAGCTCAAATTGTTTATAAACAATATTAAAAAACACACGTCTATACCTTATCACTGTACCATATTTTAAGAAATACCTAAATCATTTGAATTTGAATTTACAAGTGACTGAAAGAAATCTTGTTGCCCCGAGAGATACAGTCTTGGACGAATAAACCACTGGACGCGTAACGAGTGACGTTTTCGTCTTTACCCCGCTAGCACTTACCATGGCTAAATTAGCCATGGTAAATGTTGTCAGGTTGTCACTTTGTCAGTATGACGCCAGCTCTCGAAGAGTAAAAATATCACGAAAAATGGGTAAATGCGCCGTACTTTATTGCAAAAATTATTCCTGTCAGACAAGAAATGTTTCTTATCACGCGTAAGTACATTTTAAACCTATTATAGTAGCTATTTTTTCGTAAAATAAATAAAATTTGATATGTAAACAAAATATGATTACGTCATTTTAAAAAGTACTCATTGTACATGTAAATGCTTAAAACATGTAGCATATTTAATTTGGTTGGATTATAGGTTTCATTCATTCATTCACATCTCATTTTTTATGACGTAAAGGGCTTGAAAAATGTCGATAAGTTTATCGATATACCAAACAAACTGAAACTGAAATTATTCAAATTAATTTTAGATTTTGATAGATTTTTTTGTTTTGATAATTTTAGTCACATGAAACAAAAGATTATGAGATAGACATAGATGGAACATACAAAACAAGCACACCAGTAAATGTAAGTAATAATTACACCTTTTTTGAAATATGTTGTACATCAAAATACTGGTCAAATTTGAATAAAATATTTTTGATGTTGATTGATTTTTTGGCTTTATTTTAGTCACATGAAACAAAAGATGATGAGATCCACACAGATGGAACATACAATTTAAACTTTTCATTGCATCTAAATATTAATAATGTCATCACAAAAATACGCCAAATGACTACAATTATTATTTTTTATTTCATTAACAGGTTTTATTTTCGGTATGCAATACCGAGGTGGAACCTTTTAGATCTGTGTCATCCCCTCACGTTTAGTGAAATACCGGGGTGGTTGGAACTTGATTTGGTCCATCCTGTCATCAACTGTTTTTCAATGGGACGACTTCTGAACATCAGAGAGATCTTGACTGTCAAGATACGTGAATTAGGCCACTGAACTTTTCAAAACAAAACCAACACAGGTGAAATATCTGAGCATCTCCCTTGACAATAAATTGAACTGGGCAAGTCATATCGACAACATGCATAGTGCCTAGCAAACATAGCGGCCATGGGTTGTATGAGAACCACTCTATCGGCATCACTTGACTTCTTTCTGAATCTCAGACATTTAGACCTCATTATTCAGGAGGAAGCACAAGCACCCACTCTAAGACTTAAAGGAAACGATCTATGAAAGCAAAACAAGGAGACAGGATATTCCGCGATTCTGCACAAAACCCTAAAAGAAATACCCCTCATCAACAGGATAGGTACCCTGTGTACACATCTTCGACCAAAGATAATATCCAGCTTACAGCGGAAACGCGAAATTGCTCTGGAATCAATGAAGTTAGGATATACCGACGTCTTCAAAACTGAAATAAGTACTAGGAGGTCTTCTCGAATGACCTAAACATAAGAATATCAACAACATTAGATAAGAATTAAATATTCTCAGATAGTGCATCCGTACTGCAAGCGCTACAAAGCAATACATTGTCATAATGTTATCAAATTGTGTTTCATGAAATGTATAGAAATAGGCTATTGATGAAACTTTTGTCCGTGACGTGAGACAGATTATAACATTTGTTGAGACCAAAACCTAGTTAGCAGTCGATCGTAACAGAATATTACTTGTTTATTGCTTTACGAATTTGATAATGATAACACAGCCAAAAAATATTTCACCTAGTTACCTACCTATATGAATAATTTGTAATATTATTTGTACCTATGATTTACCAATGGCATTATAATAAACACGATACAATAATTAATTATAGTCTTTCAATATTAAATCAATCCATAATTCATTTATCTCGTTAGGTTCATTCATTCATTCATTTACATAACTATCGATAAAAATTTACGATCTTTTCCCAGCACTAAATGTCATTATTTGACAATTGTCAAACCTCTCCCCCCGCAAAAAGTGGTTGATCGTGTTTCCTTAGAAATCTTGTAGGTTTCGTGTCCAGTGGTTTATTCGTCCAAGGATACAGTCCAAGAGAAATCTAGGCAAATAAAATCTTTCCTAGATTTCAAACCTAGATCAAGTTTACTGCTGCCAGTCGTTCAATATTGCGCTTCTATGTATAAAAAAATTTGCAATAATTTATTCTTTCACATTTGATGATTTTCATTATGCGTTTTTATACGACTGTGAAGCGACTCATACAGGTTTCGTTAAATTCCTAAGGTATTTGAGCTACAAGCCGTACCTTTATAATTCGAGAAAATTTAATAATATAAAATAAAACACTGTAATATTTAACGTTATAGCACACCGGGACCGCGATATTTCTTCTTGTAAATAGCTTATGAACGAGCCATATTTATCGTTTTCAGTTTCGTCAAAAAAGGCTGATTTGATTAATCCTTTTCTTAATAAAAGGGTCTTAAATACACTAAATAACTTATGTACTCGCCATATTTCTTGCAAATTAAAAAAAATATGGAAAAGATCCTCTTATTAATCAGGGATTATTTTTGTTATGAATAGAAATAATAAACCTTAAATTATTTCTAGCTTCACAACTCTGAAATAATTGTTGAAACTTGTTCATGTTCTGGCAGAATATCGACCCTTGTACTATTTAAGAGGTGTACTGTTTAAGATGCCAGGTTTTTCTTTGACGTGCCGTTGTCTGTAGATAATACTTTGGCTTATTAAGCCACGCCCCCTTGTAGTTTAATGACTATTTCTATTCATAACAAGCCTCTATGCTCGGTCCGGTTGAATTAAGCTCCGAAGCTGTGAACAGCGTCGAGTAATATTGTGGTATGTTTGCACAGTTTCCCCACAATGGACTCAGTGAACGGGGAGAATAAGTTGAACAGGTACCCACACGATCACGTTACTCTGCACGCCGCCTTCTTGACGCCCCCTTTCAATGCTCAATTATGGTTTACTCGGTGAAACACTATCTTTCAGACCCTAAGATTTGGTGAGGATTACTAAAGCCTGGTCCGTGAGCACGCAGAATTTTGTCCAATGACCCCAAGCTACTCATCCTTATCGCTCGCGCGTAATGAGGATCAGTACTGTTGTAGAAAATGCAATAAAACTAGTATCTACGTTAATCTTTAAGACATAAGAAAGATATATCTTTTTGAATTATCCAAATCGGACCATTACTTACGAAGATATTAAGTAATAAACATAGGCCGTTTTTGCCGCTAAAAGTCAACGTACGCAGGGCCGCGTGACGTCATTATATCCGAATCGAGCGCAGCCGACGTACTATTGGGATGGAAAATATTTTTTTCCAGCAAAACTATCAGTTTTAGAAAAAAACTTTTAATAACATTTATTCATTAAAATAAAGTAACCCATCGATCAGTAATTTTTAAAAATAAAAATTGTGAAAAATAAGTATCGCTATGTCCAAAGACCACATTTTCATAGGATTCGATGGAATGCGGAGACGCGGTTGGGGTGAGTGTAACTTTATGATTGTTTGTATTGAACATAATAATACATAATATGAGTGCTAATAACCAGTTTCTGGCCTAGNTACCCAACTTCTGGCCGAGGGGGAAGTCATGCCCAGTTTATGACCTGGGGAGAGGAGGGGGGCGGGGGAGTCATACCCAGAGCTTCTAGGCTAAGATCATATAATTTCCAGGAGGGAGCAGCTGTCCTTTCCTGCAGCAGCTGGCCCGCCCATGGGAACGGCGAATAGATAAGTAGGTACGTAGGTTAAACTCAGAAAAACTAAATAACAGGTAGGTATTGCGTTTTTTTTTTTTTATGTGATAGGAGGCAAACGAGCAGACGGATCACCTGATGGTAAGCAATTGCCGTCGCCCATGTACACCCGCAACATCAGTGAAGTCACAAGTGCGCTGCCAACCTTTTAAATCCCATTCCCCCCCAATTGGGCCTCCGGTATCCTCACTCACTCGGCGAAACACAGCGCAAGCGCTGCTTCACGCCGGTTTTTTGTGAGGCCGTGGTATCACTCCGGTCGAGCCGGCCCATTCATGCCGAAGCGTGGCTCTCCCACGGAAAACACGCGTGTACATCGAAATGATCTTCATAGCAATGTCTTGCTTGTAGCCTAGGCACTGTAGGCAGAGTGTATCTGCCTCAGCTATACCTTATTGTTAGAAGTAAATAAATTAATACTTATACATTTTTATATTTTACTTGGAAGAAGATATGACTAACAACACTTATGAACACTTTATTTGAATAAATCGCCAAATATACCACCGCGGAGACCCCAATCGCGTCTCCGCGTTCCATTGAATCGTATGAGCGTATGGATTTTTTGCGATATTTTTCACAATTCTATTTTTTAAAATTACCTATCGATAGCTTACTTTATTCTGATGAATAAATGTTATTACAAGTTTTTCTCTAAAACTGACAGTTTGGCTAGAAAAAAATATTTTCTATCCACGCAGTACGCCGGCAGCGTTCGGATCGGATATAGTGACATCATCGTTCCCGCGCCGGGCGGTCAGTGAACTTTTTTAGTAATTTGGCCATAACTTCGTCAATTTTTGTCGTAGAACAAAAATTTTTGGACTGTATATTAAGGATTTCGTAGCCCTATAAATCTGCATTCACAGCTAAAAATCGAAATGATCCTCATTATGTTGCTATCGCGCTCGCACACTCACTGCGGGCGCCCGTCGCACAGTCGCGACAGCAATATAATTACGTGCGAGCGATAAGGATGGGTTGCTTGGGGTCATTGGACAAAATTCTACGTGCTCACGGACTGGGCTTTAGCGTCTATGCTTTCCGAGTAGCTACAAAGTTTAATCTAAATGTATAAAACTAAAGAAGCTAATTTTGAATATTTGCTTTCTAGTTTTGCATTTGAAATCAACCAACAGGCCTCTAATTCGTAAAAATATTTATTAGATGGAAAAAGCTTTACGAATTTAGGCTCTGGTAAATAATTCGTATCGGATCCAGGAACAAAAGACCGTTAATCGACTTTTTCCGTCACTGTTCTTTTTCCTTTTATACTGCTAATAGGAGTGAGGGAGACAAATAGAGAATTCCACGACTATCCTGATTCGTTACATAAAATTTCAAGCCATATTGTCGCATTGAAAGGGGACCCTTACTGACACCTACTAACTGTGCTAACTTCCCAGCTTCCCTCTTCTACTGTATGCACGGATTTGTGTTTAGTTTTTAGTTGTGTATTAACAGTAGCAAAGGCATGAGACTGCAATACTGCAAGTGATATAAAGGGATAAACATGCAATGGTTAAACTTTCACAGGGTCTTTTATTCGTGTAGAACTACGGTTAGTCTTCAGGGGGCCTTAGTGCGAGTTTACAACAAATGTTTTCGCTAGCGACTGCGTAAAAAATGACATGAAACGTATGACGGATTGTACAGCGTCCCTAGCGGATACTTTTAAGAACTAAAATCTTCATAGATTTTTTGATGCACTCGCTAGCGACGACGTACAATGCAAACTCGCACTAAACACACTGCATCAAAAACGGCCTTGGTCAATATTTCTTTTCAGCGCCCAATAGAGAAGTGAGACTTTGTATAAGTTTAGCTATTGCATTAATATAATCCAGAGCCACGTTTGATGCATGTAAATAATATACAGTATTAGTGTAGAAAATTAAACAGGTAATTGTTTCGTAGTTTAGTTAATCACTAAAGTATTTATTAGTTAATACGTGTGGTGTTAAAATATTACTTACGTGTCCTTATCCCAACTAATATTATAAATGCGAAAGTAACTCTGTCTGTCTGTCTGTCTGTCTGTCTGTCTGTCTGTCTGTCTGTCTGTCTGTCTGTTACGCTTTCCCGCTTAAACCTCGCAACCGATTTTGATGAAATTTGGCATAGAGATAGTTTGAGTCCCGGGAAAGAACATAGGATAGTTTTTATCCCGGTTTTTGAAACAGGGACGCGCGCGATAAAATTTTTCTGTGACAGACAAAATTCCACGCGGGCGAAGCCGCGGGCGGAAAGCTAGTAACTTATTAAAAATGTGCTAATATTTGTTTTCGTGCTTAATTATTTGGTTTGTTAATTAATTAATTTAAAATGATTTCGTTTTAGTAACAAGAAATCTATGTTTCAATGCATACACATTGGCACGCGATAATGCAATAATAGCTTGATTTATCAGCTTATCAATGCTCTATCACGCAATACAATATTAAATAAAGTCAATTGACAACAAAACAAATATCAAGTACTTACTTACATTGAGTATTTTAGTAGATAGAATGATTTTCAAATAATTTATCGAGACGGTTCTTTTGCCAAAACTAAAGTTGGAAATTAAAACGTATAACCCGGTCGAGTTAACTGCACACCTCACACCCGTGACGTCACGCCTTCGCTCTGGTACGGACGGGACGAACGCGTAGAGGTGTGCGGGTGAGAATTCCAACAAGGTGCCAAGTTAGCGCGATCAGAGGTGGAATTGTGTAAAGCAATCGTTATCATTTGACAGTTCATAACGTACGATTATTCAGTCAAACGCTGTGTTTATCTGACTTTATCGTACGTTATGAACTGTCAAATGATTACGATTGCTTTACACAATTCCACCTAAAGTTGTACACAACCAAACTTTCATAACCAAAACTACAAGTTTTCACAAAATGTGCGTAGATCGGAACGCGTTCGCATGCAGCAAGCCATGCAGGGCAAGCAGAAGTATGACCTGTCCAAGTGGAAGTACTCCGAACTACGCGACACCATCAACACTTCGTGCGACATCGAGCTACTGGAGGTCAGTATAATCAGAGTAAATACAAATGAGTAGGTCATCTTCATAGAAACGCACCGAGCGCGGTTTGTATGTGAGCGCGCCAATATACGTATGCGGCGCGCACGCACACACTGACAAAATTCGGCGCAACCACGACTAGCTCCCCGCTAAATTTTGTCAGTGTGTGCGTGCGCGCCGCATACGTGTTGGCGCGCTCACAAACCGCCCCCGTGCGTTTCTATGAAGATGACCTACTACTAATTTGTATTTACTCTGGAATAATCAATCGTATGTAGTTGTCATAGATGCTATATTCCAACAAAAACATATACGTAATAATATTTGACGCAAAAGCGCTCTTATTACAACTGTACAAGGTCCACAGTGACAGATAAAGTGACGTAGGATATCATCCACTTGCTGTTCGTTACAGACAGACCTAAGGATTTGTTTTGCAGCTGTTTGATAGACGCCCGTTTTTATATCAATCCCCAATTTTTAAGTGACCCCTATTGTAATTTCATAGAGGTCGCTTAAAAATTAGGGATTGAAGATGAAAACGGGCATGACTCTCTCTTTGGTTTATTTTGGGCAACGTAGTTAGTTGCCTAGTGTATTTTGAATCCTGTTTGTTGTATTATAATCATCGGGCATTAGGCCTGTTACTATTTTTTTTATTATGCATAACAAGGCAGTTATTTGACCACAGTCTCACCTGATGTTAAGTGGGATGCAGTCTAGGATGGTACATATCCGCCCTGTAAGTGCCTATTCACTCTCGCCTTGAAAATGTCCAGATTATAGTCTTCGGGAAAGACAGGCAGGCAGAGAATTCCAGTCCCTAGCTGTTCGCCTTATAAAAGAGTCATCGAAACGTTTAGTGCGAGCTGGTGGAATGTCAACAATATAGGGACGGTACGCTAACCTGCGTCTGGTTCCCCGATGATGGAAGGGGGCTGGTGGAATAGACATGTTGACACCACAGTCAATTGACGTACTTTTTAAAACTGTCAAAACGAAACTCTCCCATAGATTTTGTATGGCACTACAAGCAAGTGACGTCACTATTTTGTCAACCCAATTAAACTACTTTTTTTTTTTTTCAATTACAATTCGAACAAAAATCGAAATTTACAGGTAATTTAAAATAAATTAGGTTTTTAAGACCAGAATGAAGTCTTTTTAAAACAGTTGTGGTTTCGTATGGTGTCAAACTGTCTATTAGTTTGTGTAATTCTTTCGCACATTCTCCGACGTTTAGCCTGTAGAAAACCGATAGGGATGCCACCTACCTACTATAAAACTATGTTCCATATTTCCTCCAGGCGTGCCGGCACGAGTTCCACCGCCGCCTGAAGGTGTACCACGCGTGGAAGGCGAAGAACGCGCGCAAGACCACCATGGCCGAGCAGGAGCGCGCGCCGCAGTCCATCATGGATGCTGGTAACACACTGACACTAGTTTAGAACCTTATGTTATCGCACTAAAGTTCAAAATAAATAAAGGTCTAAGCCATTTCATGAGAAATACGTGTCATCGGATCATTTGAAACTTCTACTAAAATACCAGAACGAAATCGTATCGTATCACTCTACATTTAGTCTTCACGGGAGGAGCATATTGTCTTAAATTTTCTGGAAGCAAATTAATTACTTAGCCTACACATTATAGGACACTTTCCACGATTACCAGACGGATTAAGGAGGTCTAATGTACTCATATTTCTTCCTTCACTCCCTCCGTGGTTGTCATTAACAACTTACAGCCTCCGCAACCCGTCTAGCGTGGAATGTGTAGGCTAAATTCTGCATAACTTTGTTCTTGGTAAAGTCTCGTTAAGTTGCGTTGCCCTGCAGAGGAGATCAAACTATAGTCTGGTCTGTGAGCACGTAGAATTTTGTCCAATGACCCCAAGCTACCCATCCTTATTGCTCGCGTGTAATTATGTTGCTGTCGCGCTCGCACACTCACTGCGGGCGCCCGTCGCACAGTCGCGACAGCAATATAATTACGCGCGAGCGATAAGGATGGGTAGCTTGGGGTCATTGGATAAAATTCTACGTGCTTACAGACCGGGCTTTACATGATGACGTAAAGATCTGTAATTAATTTTCCAGCCAAAACGCCCCGCATGCCGCAAAAGGGCGAGATACTAGGCGCGAGGCACCGCTACTTCCGCATTCCCTTCGTTCGCACCACCAGCGACGCGGCCGACCGGCGCGGCTGGTGGTACGCGCACTTCGACGGCCAGTACGTGGCGCGGCAGATGGAGCTACACCCGGACAAGACGCCCGTCCTGCTGCAGGCCGGTGAGTGACGTCACAGCGACGCGGCCGACCGGCGCGGCTGGTGGTACGCGCACTTCGACGGGCAGTACGTCGCGCGGCAGATGGAGCTAAAGCCCGGTCTCCGAGCACGTAGAATTTTGTCCAATGACCCCAAGCTATCCATCCTTATCGCTCGCGGGTAATTATGTTGCTGTCGCGCTCGCACACTCACTGCGGGCGCCCGTCGCACAGTCGCGACAGCAATACAATTACGCGCGAGCGATAAGGTAGCTTGGAGTCATTGGACAAAATTCTACGTGCTCGGCGACCAGACTATACACCCGGACAAGACGCCCGTCCTGCTGCAGGCCGGTGAGTGACGTCACAGTGGCAGTGGGCGAGGCTTATAGCTCGTGGAAGTGAGGCTCGTTGCATCATCAGAAAAGTTCTCCAATAGTGAATAGAGGAATCCGAAAACCATGCTTTTCATCATTCGACGGGCAGTACGTGGCGCGGCAGATGGAGCTACACCCGGACAAGACGCCCGTCCTGCTGCAGGCCGGTGAGTGACGTCACAAGTGGGCAGGGCACATAGCTCGTGGAACTGAGGCTCGTTGCATCATCAGAAAAGTTCTCCAATAGTGAATAGAGGAATCCGAAAACCAGGCTTTTCATCATTCGACGGGCAGTACGTGGCGCGGCAGATGGAACTGCACCCGGATAAGACGCTAGTACTGCTGACGTCACAAGTAGGCAGTGGGCGGGGTTTATAACTCGAGGACCTGACGCCCGTTTTTTTTTTATGCATAACAAGGCAGGTATTTGACCACAATCGCACCTGATGTTAAGTGGGATGCAGTCTAGGATATTTCTGCATAGAGAGACGTATTTAATAATATTTTCTAGAACAATTCTGTGATTCAAGTGCTAGAAATCCTACTGCAGTACGTCAGCCTCAAACATATTGGTGGAGCAGCATTTACGCGTGTTTATCTCTGCTGATGGAGACGTACTAAAGTAGCATTTCTATATACGCAACCGGGCTTAATACGACGTGTATTTCGTTTCTATAAATTAAACCTTATCCTAACTAAATAAGGTCGTTTATTGCAGGCGTGGACGACATGCAGATGTTTAACAATTACGTATTTCGTTTCTACAAATTAAACTTTATCATCACTGAATAACCGTGTTTATTGCAGGCGTGGACGACATGCAGTTGTTTAACAATTACCTATTTCGTTTTTGCAAAATAACCCTTATGCCAACTAAATAACCATGTTTATTGCAGGCGTGGACGACATCCAGATGTTTAACAACTACGTATTTCGTTTTTGCAAAATAACTCTTATCCCAACTAAATAACCGCGATTATTGGAGGCGTGGACGACATGCAGATGTTAAAGTTACGTATTTCGTTTTTGCAAAATTAAACCTTATCCCAACTAAATAAGGTCGTTTATTGCAGGCGTGGACGACATGCAGATGTTTGACAATCGACAGCCAATTTGTTTTTGCAAAATAACTCTTATCCCAACTAAATAACCGCGATTATTGGAGGCGTGGACGACATGCAGATGTTACGATGTGTATTTTATTTTTGCAAAATAGCCCTTACCCCAATGTCATATGCTAAACCACATAGCATGGAATCGTTCCATCCATGCTCTGTGAGCTAAACAATCGCTCATTTCAGGCGTGGACGACATGCAGATGTGCGAACTCAGCCTGGAGGAGACGGGTCTGACGCGCAAGCGCGGCGCCGAGATCCTCGAGCACGAGTTCGAGCGCGAGTGGGCGCGCCACGCCGGCGCGCCATACGTGCCGCCCGACCTGCGCGCGCGCTAGGTAAATAAATAAACCAGAAAACTAAATTATTTTGATACCCCACTCGAACCCCATACCCCACTCTTTTGGAAAAAGAATTTTTTTTTAAGACATTATGGTTTTTTTTTTTTTTTTTTTTTTTCAATTTTAATATAGCCAGTGTCAGGCGATTATCACACTGCGCCGCGCTCCGCCGCGGTACGCGGGACGACAGATTTAATCATTGTATGGAAGTACCTCAGTTTCAGTTTGTATAGAAAACACTGACAACGCGTCTGCGCGCGGGATTTTTTATATGAAATCACGCGGAGCGCGGCGCAGTGTGATAATCGCCTGACTCTCTAAGACGAATCTAATGACACCTCTCACGCTAAAATCAGTCAAGCCGTTTAAGCTGTAGGCCGTGCTATCGATCATACACTCGAAAACATAACCCTCCTTCTGGCGCAGTCGGGTAAAAACTCATAAAACTCATTTATTTTTGCAAATAGGCTTTAAAAAGCACTTTTACACGTCCCAGTATTAACCCTACCACTGCTTTGGGACAATAAATGGGCCAGTGCTGAGAAGAAGCAGCAATAAATAGTTCGTTCGTTTCAGCCGAAAGACGTCCGCTGCTGGACAAAGGCCTCCCCCAAGGATTTCCACAAAGACGGTCTTGCGCCGCTCGGAAAGAAGAGTTTTAATTAGCCTGTCAGTTAACCTATCAAAAAATACTCGACACGTATTTTTCACTACTTCAAACTAATGAAAACTGAAAGAGATAAAACGCACTTTGTTACGTCACGCGGAACTTTAACGCACCATAATTTTGTCATTACTTGTTTGATTGACAAATGAAATATACGTGTCAAATATTTCTTGATAATTGACGGATTAAAAGTATTTTTTTAGAAAATAAATAAAATTAAACGAGTTCAATGCTAAGCATCTACTTCTCTGAATCCCTTCAATGCAGATGATAATTTACAAACGAGTAAATAATATAAACAACCATTTATTACGTCCACAATAATTATACTTTATTAATTTATTGTTTACAGATACCCAAACATTCCAAGCAACAACTTGCAGAATACGCGCCATCGAAACAAACGTATACGTTCGCTGCCGACGAATTTCGTCTCAAAATTCCATACAAATAAGATACAAAGTGCTTTGTTACGTGCCTTCGCGGGTTCCTACATTATGTTAGTGCAATATATTTTATTCGAGAATGTTCCACCGTAAAAAACACGTATAGTAGACAGAGGTAGCTATATAAAAATAATATATTTACAAAAGCAAAAAAATATGATATGTAATAAGTAGAATAAATTAAATTCACACGTGCCTACATTTATGTGAAAAAAGTCCTAATGTAATCATTTAAAATGCACATTAAACGAGTACATACAGTGTAGTTAAACTGTTTTAGTGATAGATGTAATTTAAATGAAATGCTTTGTTTAATTTTGTAAACTGTGATTATTTTGAGAGGTATTCAGGTTATATTTAAGGTTTTTGTAGGAGAAATATAGTATTTATTCCAAGCATTCCTTGTCATTATGTAAGACTGGAGAGCTGCTATTTTTTGTATTATGTACAATTTAACAATCAGTATTGTCCCGAAGTGCCTTAAACTTTGGAATACAAATTAACATTCCGGGAAAAGACTTTACTTTTACAAATTTTAATAACAAAAAAATATTATTTATGGTTACTTGATAAAGTACCAATAGTAAATTATAGTACAAGTGAAAAATACATATTATGAATTAAATAGGTGCACTTATCTGTAGAAATAGTAAATAAAAGTTCTTTTCGACCTACTTATTTCTTAAGAATGAAATCACCTAAATGTTAATCAGTTCAAGCTACTTACATTTAATTATGTAAATACCCTATATCCCATATCTCACAGTTTGAGACATATTGTATTAAAAGTGCCTTATAGTTTGATGCAGTTAGTACGTGACCTCTGTATTTGTGTATTTTTATGCTTTACCAAATAAAAATAATAACTTGAAAGTTTGTTTTATTTGACTACTCTGCATTAGAACTAAAAGTGTAAGTATGCTTTTTTTATAGCGTGCAGTTATGTTAAACTATTGTTAGACTTTATTAGTTGTGATATAGGTTTGCAATTTCAATGTATGACCAGAAAATCCACCACGGGACTAAGGTCACTTTTTCCAATTTGAAAGACACTGGAGTTAGTAATTCAATTCTATAAGGCGATTCCACTGTAGCGAGGCGTTAGGCAAGGAGATGTTATATCTCCGAAACTGTTCACCGCTGCATTGGAGAACGCTTTCAAGCTCCTGGAATGGAAAGGATTCGGCATAAACATTAATGGCGAGTACATCACTCACCTTCGGTTTGCCGACGATATTGTGGTCATGGCAGAATCGTTGGAAGATCTTGGCACAATGCTCGAAGACCTTGATCGAGTTTCCCAACAGGTAGGCCTGAAAATGAACATGGACAAAACGAAGCTTATGTCGAATATCCATGTTGCGCCCTACCCAGTTTCAGTTGGGAGCTCAATTCTCGAGATTGTTGACAAGTATGTCTACCTCGGACAAACGATCCAGCTAGGTAGGTCCAATTTCGAGAAGGAAATCAATCGTCGAATCCAACTTGGCTGGGCAGCGTTCGGGAAACTAAGTACGTAACATCTTTTCGTCCAAAATACCCCAATGCTTGAAGACGAAAGTCTACAATCAATGTGTGTTACCAGTGATAACTTATGACTCTTGTATAGGCCTTATACAGAAGCTCAAAGTTGCACAGCGTGCTATGGAGAGCGCTATGCTTGGTGTTTCTTTGCGAGATCGAACCAGAAATGAGGAAATCCGTAAACGAACTAAAGTCGCTGACATAGCCCGACGGATTAGCAAGCTGAAGTGGCAATGGGTAGGGCACATAGTGCGCAGAACTGACGGCCGATGGGGCAGCAAAGTTCTGGAATGGAGGCCGCGTACCGGAAGGCGCAGCGTGGGACGTCCACCTACAAGGTGGACCGACGACATCGTAAAGGTAGCAGGGAAGCGCTGGACGCAGGCCGCTACCAATCGATCAACGTGGAAAGCATTAGGAGAGGCCTATTGTTCAGCAGTGGACGTCCTATGGCTGACATGATGAAGTTTAAAAGATTTTACAGTACAGAATTGAATTACTAACTCCAGTGTCTGCATAATTATCTTTTAAGAAAAATCATACGAAATCTATACTAATATTATAAATGCGAAAGTAACTCTGTCTGTCTGTCTCGCTTTCACGCCAGAACCACTGAACTGATTTTGATTAAATTTGGCATAGATATAGTTTGAGTACCGGGAAAGCACATAGGATAGTTTTTATCCCGGTTTTTGAAACAGGGACGCCGCGATAAATCCCGGTTTTTCTGTGACAGACAAAATTCCACGCGAGCGTAGCCGCGGGCGGAAAGCTAGTAGTTGTTAATAATCAAAAGCAGCACTAAGTATAAAAGCCTGTTTGTTTAGTGTTTCTTTCACGTAAATTTAAATATAACGTATGCTCCCCAATTTTTATCGATTAATTGATAATACCTCCATGATTAATAGTCTAATCGATTTCACTTGAGAATGTTGTTGTTATTTTCCCGCCTAGCTACTATAGATGACCCACGCTGAACTGTCCCGCCAAACTCAATGACAGGGGGGCGCTACCATCGTTCAACTTCGGAACCAGCTCAACCAGCGATTCGGTATTGACGGTGGCGCCCCGCTGTCAATGTCATCGGTAGGACAGTTCAGTATTTTGGAACTATACCACAGATAAGGATAGATGCAGCATGTGTCAAAATTTGTATGAAGCCGAGCGTGCCACTTTTTAAACGTCATTAGTGTCATTTTAGCGAATTTTAGTGATTGCCGCAACGTAAAAGTAATCGTATCATCGTACTGCATTCGCAAAGTCATCGAATGATATCGTGCGACTCGATTCAAAAATTAATTAATTCCGATAAAACTGATATTTTGTTAAATTTATAGCTAGTCTGACTGTGGATTAAAATAATTATGTAGCGGTAGACGTTATTCTACAATTCTACATTATTAATTTGCAAATAATATTTTTGTTGTGCCTAATGTTTATGAAAGTAATGATCGTTATTCCATTATGTTAAATAGTATACTACTAGTAATTCATACTTAATTCCATACTTTTAAATATCCTAGTAAGTAAATGACCTACTTTCATAAAATAAAGACTATTTTACTCAAGCTTTTTATTTTTAATAAATGTAAAAATGCGTAGTTTTGCCCATACGTTTTTTTTCATATAGTTAAGTCAGGTACCTAGTTTTGAAGATATTTCTAAACGACAAAATCTCGGGCGTCGTATACATAGTAGTAATAATAGTGTATACTGCGATCACTGACTTAACTTCTTGATTTGTATATTTCGACGTTATACAGTGCACTCTGTCTTCCGCGATCACTGATCTAACTTGTTTTATAATTCTTCTTCTGCTACTTTATTCTAATTAATTACATATTTGTTACTCGTTGCTGTTAATTACAATTCTCAATCCGCAAATAATTTCTTCTCTCTACCGTGTTCGTACTACTGTCCTCGTAAAATCATCGTATCCGATTGTTGTAATCGGATTACATGAACATCACTCGACCATGTATGTCCATTTGGACATATCGGAATGGCACGCTTTGACTAGCAACTTGCTGTATAGATGACCCACGCTGAACTGTCCCGCCAAACTCACTGACAGGGGGGCGCTACCATCGTTCAACTATATGGTTTCCAACATGGCAAAAATCTGAAACAGCGATCCGGTATTGACGATGGCGCCCCACTGTCAATGTCATCGACAGGACAGTCCAGTATTTTGGAACTATATCTACTCTAATCCATATCTGTGAACTATACTGTCTTAACTGTCACTGTCACTTACGTCACGTCTATCTAATTGACAGTGACAGCTCGTAGCACAATCTCGAAAGTGGTGGTTTTTTTTTTTTCCGTCTCGCGAGTGTCAGTGGCTACACGTGTTTCAGGAAAACAATTAGTTTTGGTGTAATTACTAGTGTAATCTTTTAAAGNGCTCCCGATGTCTACCGACGGAAATCTACTCAGGAGCTCCCAAAGAACAACTGGTGCAAAAATGAGCCTTCTATACCAAAGTGGAGGGGTCTCCATACAAATCATTGCACTAAATTCCCTACTAATCTGGCGGATTTTTAAATCGCGAAAACCCTCATTGAATGAAACAGTCAAATTGCCTTACGCCGCCCGCGCGCTATGGAGACAGGTCGCAGTCTGTCGTATTATTATTTACGCACTCGACTAGCATGTGCTTTGTGCCGAATATTCGGCGCTTCGGCCGACAGCGTTGCCGAATATTCGGTATTCGGTATTCGGCCAAATCACTATTCGTGGCAACTCTAGTATTTTTCCCTGTATTATTTGACTAGGGTGGATTCGACCAAACAAGAGTTAATATTAATCTCAGAATAAACTTGTCATTTTGACATATTTCCCATACTGAAACTGTCAATGTGCCAGTTATACCAGGAGCTATTCTCGGATAAAAGTTTGGCCAAATCGGGCCTTAGAATGATATTAACTATACGCTGAAAAAATTCATGTGGTTTTTCTTTGCAAATAAGACGACGCAGAAGTAAATTAAAATACTCAAAAAACTCTAAAAAGTCCTAAAAGGTGTGAGCAATTTCGAATGTTTTCATCCTGATCAATCGTACCAAAATATTCTTATCAACGAGTTTATTTATGTATGTAGGGATCTGTTTTCTTTTCCTTTGCTTTCTAGCACCGTCAAAATATTTTTTCTGCCTAGCCCGAAGGTAAACTGGCAGACAATACCTATATGGCATCAAGTTCGCCTAACCTACCAATTATATGGCGTTAAAGCTATAAATAAATAAACGACAGAGATAGAATCGCGAAGTTAAAGAAACGGTGTTTAAGAATAGGTGGTGTCAAACGTAATTATACATCTGACGTCGCTTAAGTGACGAGTATAGCCAAAGGCCGTAAATAAAAGTGTTAACTCTTTATACGGCAGTGGGAAAATAGTTCCCATCACATTTTGAACGTTATTCCCTTGTCTTTAAGGTCCAAAAACAATGAAAATTTTGGACTTGTTAAATACTTGAAAAGTTCTAATAAAATTTCGAAAATCGTCGACTCCAAAGGGAGTAAGAACTTCGTAAGGTTAAAAATTAATAAGAGCAAAGAGAATGCACACATATTACAAAAGAAATTAGTTTGAAATTACTGTGTAGTGATATTTCTTGTAATTTTATATTTTTAACATTAGTAAGAAAAAATATCTCCACAAAAAACAGAAGTTGGAAAGGACTCTGGATTCAGGATATTTTGGGGTAATTTAGCAAAATCTCGTAACCTGGTACACCGAGCAGCCGAAATTTCGGTCACCGCCTGAAAATTGGCGTCATTTTTTGGTGATGCTCTAGGAGTTAGTAATAATTTCGACTATGTTTATTTCAGCATCTTTAAAACTAACTTTGATAATAATATGACGGTACCTTGATGAGGCAAAAAAAAAATGTTTATTCTAGTCTGTTCTACTCTAAAAAATCCGGAAAATAATACGGAAATTAAGGAAAATTAACAAAAGGATGGAAGTAGGTGTGTAAATAGGATAAATTATCACAACACAGTACTTTCAAAACAAAAAGATAGAATTTCGTAGAACTGTGAACAGACATAATCTCTCTTTTGAATTCAAAACAACTATTGTACTATTTCTTTTGTATTAATTTACCAATAATCAACAATTTATAATTTTTCGACCCAAAAAAGATACATTTCGCAAACTTAACGTACCTTCATAATAAAACTACTATTTAATTTACAAAATGCATAAAATTCATTATAGCTTGTTTCATCCACGAAGACGCGCCCCACCATTCTTCCGCTAATGTTTGAGTGTTATCTGTACACATTAAATTGTCCATGAGTGCACACGCACACTACAATAATGCCTTACGGATTGCTCGGATCAAACTCCCCGCACCCCGCGCGACCGAGACCAAACATTGGAGGGGCGCGTCCGAGTGGATGAAACGATCTATACTTCTTCTAAAGCCTGGTCCGTGAGCACGTAGAATTTTGTCCAATGACCCCAAGCTACCCATCCTTATCGCTCGCGCGTAATTATGTTGCTGTCGCGCTCGCACACTCACTGCGGGCGCGCGTCGCACAGTCGCGACAGCAATATAATTACACGCGAGCGATAAGGATGGGTAGCTTGGGGTCATTGGACAAAATTCTACGTGCTCACGGACCAGGCTTTACAAATCATCTTATGCCAAGTCTGCTCACAGTTCCAGAAATGTCTACCCACAAACGGTGTAAGTTTTGAAACCTACCTTTGACGATGGTCTTGGAAGCCTTCGGCCTGTCTTCAGCTTTGGTCTTTTTCTTTTCCCCTTTCACGGCTTTCCTCGCCTTCGGTGGGCGCCCACGCTTGGGCAGGGGCAGAGCCTCCACGGCTATATCTGAGCCAGAGGCTTCGTTCTTTAGAGGCTCGTCGTCCGCTGTGGATTGATAGTGAAGTAATTAAATAACTGAACTGGGGGTTTAGTGTGAGTTTACATAAAACGTCGTCAAAAATGACATTAAATGTACGACGGATTGTACAGCGTCCCTAGCGGATAGTTTCAAGAACTAAAATCTTCGTAGATTTTTTTGACGCAAACTCGCACTAAGCACACTGAACTACAATCAATTTGCATTTTTCCCAAATTTTTCGCATTTGTATATATTTTGAGCCAATGTTATGGCGCAGTTACATTATACGAGTAAATAATCGAGACATAGTGTAAACGTGCACAACGTTAGTTTTGACGCGCGTCGCCCATATTTCGGTGTGCGTGCTCGCGCTTCGTTTCGGTAAATTTTTTGCCTTCGCATCAAATTGATGGGCCAAGTTACCCAGATTGACTGGTATTAATATTTGCTTTTTTACAACTGCTCAACTCGAGTTCCCTTCCCCACTATTCCTCAGCTCGAGCTAATTATGTTCTCCTGAAGTTTGGGCAAGCTACATTTAGGTATCTGACACTAGTTTAGGTGCTCTGAAAAGAGCCCCAACATGCCTACCCCTCTCCCACGGCGAATTTTTGTAGCGATGCAGTAGCGATTCTGTCGCACGTTCGCATCGATACTGTCGTCCGGTCGCTAGCTGTGTGCTCTCGCCCACGTAAACACGATTCAATCGTGATGCAAACGCGATACTGTCGCGATGTAAACGTGATTCACACCCGTATACACAAACATTACTATGAGGTCTAACAGTGCGCATGGATGCACAGGGTCCCAAAAACCTATTCATAGATAAATACGTGGCGGATGACACACACGAACCAATCACACAGCTCTATCCAACGCTGTGTGTTCGACTTCGCATAGCGCTGCCGCTTTTCACATAAGCAAGCATCGTTTTGTGAATATCAGTTTTTTTTTTATGTATTTTCTGCTCTATGGCAATCTGTTCGAAAACAATATAAGCCACTTGTTTGGCTGGAGCTACATGTCCTAAGTTTTATGTTGTCTTCGAGAGCCAATCAATTGCTGATCTTTTTCCAGCAAACTCTCTTCTTGGCTCAATCTTTGGGCGAGACTGGGAATGCCTTGTCTTTTCAGTCGATTGTACTGTAGTCCACCTTCTCCACTTAAGGCCTGTGCGAGTTCGTTTGCATGAGTTTCCAGTTGCTCCTGGTATTTCAGGCTTGCCTGTACTATTTCCTCACGAACAGTGTTCATGCCTAGGTCAAGTACTTGTTGTTAAATACATGTACTTGTTGCTAATACATTGGGGTACGCCGAGCATGGTTCTTACTTTGAAATCTTTCCAGTATGTCGATGTTACTCTTGCTAGCTGTTCCCCATAACTGTATCCCGTAAGTCCAGATAGGTTTCAAAGTTGCTTTGTATACCAAGACCGATGAAGACGGGTATCAGTAACGGCACAAAATTACCTGCGATCGCTACAGTTGCCGCGCCACCCTCTCTCCGTTCTCTCCCCGATGTCGTCCAACACGGTCGCGCGTTTGCATCGCTACAGTCGCGCGTTAGTAGCGCATTGGCATCACTTCTGTAGCGCGTTGCAAATGCGAATAACGCGCGTTAGTAGCGATGCATTCGCTCGTTTGCGAAACGCGCGACAGCGTCACTACAAAACGTCGCCGTGGGCGAGGAGTATAAGAATTAAAATTTAAATAAAAAAATTTAAGTACCATCTCCGAAGTCCATTTCATCCAAGTATTCCACTTCTGTGTCCTCGGTCGGGGTCTCCTCGCTGGCCTCCGCCTTCATTTGCGACTGGTAGATCATCACTGAAACAATAATGGTACATAGTAGTCCAGTTCATAGATGCTTAAGGCCCAGAACAGACGGTGAAACGCAACTGCAACGAAACTACAACTGCTAGTTACTTTTGAGTTGCATCTAAGTTTCTGCCATAGCGTCCGTTGAGAGACCACACATGACGCGACAAGTTTGAAACTTTCAGTTTCAGTTTCATTCATAAGAATCATCAGAAAGTTGCAGTTTCATTGTAGTTGCGTTTCACCGTTTGTTCTGGGCCTAAATTACTATCTTGCTGCTGGCCTGACAAAACAAGAGGGAAACAACAAACCACAAGATCTGGCCTGCCCTTGGGACCTAAGACCTAGGTTTAGGATGCGCGCTGCGATAAGCTTATTGCGCCATTTTATCGATTTTACGGGATACACCCATGTTTGTCTAAAATCGTCGATAAGATTTTATCACGGCGCCATCTTTGGTCTGGAAGGTAGGAGTAATGAAAATGTTGTAGAACATCTACGTCTAAAGACCTAAGGGTCCCTATTTAAGAGATAGGTATTAGATGTTTTTTTTCTAATCTACAATCAGCCCAGCAGAATCATTAAATGTTGTACTTAGACATTAATTTGGAGTGTGCACATCTCTTTCTTTTTCTTTGATGTGAGTTAAAAAATAGAACTGCAAACATACAAAACATTTTTCATATCACAAATAAAAGAGTGTTCTCAGAAAAAGTGGTTCTAGCAATATTATAATTCGCTTTTTTTATTATTGCAATTTTTTTTATGTGTAACAAAGTATACCAATCTATCTTGGGATTGATTGCAAATACACACAGAAAGAAAAAATCTGCTTACCTTTAGGCCTAAACTCTCCCCTGCCGATCATATCCACGAACTTCTTCTCCGAGTCCAGGACCTGCTTCTTGAAGTTGCAGGCGTCGCGCAGTCGTGTGATGCACACTTCGCAGATAAGTCGACTGGGGCCGTTGGGGCCTTCATTGTGTTGGGATATCTATTGCATAAAATAGCTTTATTAAATCTAGCACCAATAAATTGTTTTTCTTTCTTTCACTTTCTAATTAGATGTAACTTAAGACTAAGGCTGAGTTGCACCACTAACTTTGATGGTAACTATAACGATAACCAATGTTTTTTTAAGGGGTTTGACAGATTTTTTATGTTTGTTAGAGTTAAAGTAAGATGGTGCAAGTGTGCAACCCACCATAAGTTGAATATTTGCAAGATCACACATTTTGTCTTTTTTATTCCAATGCTTAAATGATATTTTGCTGAGTACTATTCCTAAATAAATTAATGCAGCATTGCTTTAAGAACTACTGATTTTTACTGACTTGAAACTTAAAAACCTTCATTTAACTATCGAATGGCTAAGTAGAGTACCTTTTGATATTTATCAAAATAATAAGAAACTTGAAGGCAGAGAGGATTTTATATGCATAACAATGATCTGACAGAAAGTTAAAAACTAGTTTGAATCATGCAGCTTGTGCGACGAATGCTTTTTTCAGAACTTCGATTGAACGTTAAGGACAGAAGGGTCGTAAATTGAAAAGAAACCAGTTAATACAGAAGCACTTTGTACCTAACTATAGCCACTATAATGGGCAGAAACTAGGGGGAGAAAGAACTGAAAAATTCGACTGAAAACTACGTAATATGACTCAAAGTAGAACTCAAAAGATAAATAAATACTCTAAACGTAAATACTCACACTAATATCAAAGCATTCAAGCAGCATATCGGCATAAACTTCGTTTTCGTTCATCCAAGTGTACTCGGTCCCCAAGTCTTTGTAACATCCCTCGGAGAGACAGCACCGGCAAAGCCCCGGGCTTTCCTTCACAACAATTTCGTCAAATTCCATTATCACAGTCCTATTCACCAGTATGAATTGAAAAACAGTTCTAATTTAAAAAATTAGAAGAAACAACATCGCGTCAATGCACTGCACCGCTTCGCTGTATCATCGCCATTTTGATTTCATTTTCTGTTCCTGCCAAATGTCAATATAGATGACCCACGCTGAACTGTCCCGCCAAACTCAATGACAGGGGGGCGCTACCATCGTTCAACTATATGGTTTCCAACATGGCAAAAATCTGAACCAGCGATCCGGTATTGACGGTGGCGCCCCACTGTCAATGTCATCGACAGGACAGTCAGTCCAGTATTTTGGAACTATATTTTAGTTATGGAACCTAATAAATACTAGTTTAAAAAAAATATCGCGTGATTTCATTGACATTTAAAAGTACCTTTTTAACGCCATCTAGCGCCGAGTAGAAATACTAAATGCTTTGAGATACAAACTCCATCTAGTATTGATTAATCGTACTATAACGTCGTCAACTTCTTTGTCTATGGTTATATTTTCTGCTGTCACTCTGTCAGTGCTGTAAAAAAAAAAAAAAAAACAAAATGTCATTAATGTCATTAACATCACAAAATTCACGAATTTTGCTTTCGTTTTCCGTCTCGCGAGTGTCAGTGGCTACACGTGTTTCAGGAAAACAATTAGTTTTGGTGTAATTACTAGTGTAATCTTTTAAAGAAAACCAATTTTAAGCTAAATTATTACTAAAACAAGGGTGGTGGTACATAAGTCTATTTATTCTCGGTAAGTTTTAACAAAAATGGACCCTAGTCCTCCCGACCCGCCTGATCCTCCAGATCAGACGGATACAATGGAGGTCTCCCAACCCTTATTCTCCCAAACGGCAACTAAACGCCGCCTAGATACGGAGGTTGACTCCGAGCCCGCCAAGAGGACAAACACAGACGGATCTTCACAAAATCATCAATCGGTGTACACACATCCCTCACTTGTGATTGCTCCTAAAATATACAGCGACCAGGACAAAGGCCCCTTTATCGTTCACGTTTCCCATGTGGAAAATGAACCTTCTTCCCCAGCTTATATTCAACCCATGAGATTTGGCAAATTTCTGGTCACTAACAAGATACAGGGAATTATTTTAGACGGTGTCAAAAAAATTGGCAGAAACAGGATTTCTGTCGAATTTCTTTCATCCACTGCTGCCAACAATTTCCTTAATAATGAAATTTTGTCCATGTACAAATATGTAGCTTCCATCCCAACTTATAACGTGACCCGCATGGGCCTCATTCGAAATATCCCTACAGACTGGACCATGGAGGAACTCGCAGAATCCTTGACTACCCCAGACGGCTGCGGTATCCTTTTGAAGGCGCGCCGTCTCAATAGGAAACTAGTTCAAGAAAATCAAACTTCCTGGGTCCCCACACAAACAGTCGTAGTCACATTTAAGGGTCAAGTTCTCCCGGAAAGAGTCTTTTGCTTCCACAACTCATTACCAGTTGAGACGTACCAACTCCCAACTATCCAATGCATGAACTGCTGTCGTTTTGGCCACGTTAAGTCTCAATGCCGATCCAAGCCAAGATGCTACCGATGCACACAACCACACTCTGCTGAGGAATGCCAAGTTACGGAAGACAAAGCTACATGTATCAACTGTCAAGGCCCCCATTTTGCTTTAAACAGGTCCTGCCCAGAGCACTCTCGGCAGAAGGCAATTAAGATCACCATGTCTCAGGACAATGTCTCTTACTCCCAGGCCTCCTCCCAATTTGCGCCAGTTCGTAGGTCATATGCAGACATTGCTAAATCCCCATCACCCCAAAAATCCAACCCCACTCCTCAATCTTCCTACCCCCAATCCTCACCCTCCACTCAATCCAGCTCTTACAGAAAGTCCATCCCGCGCCCTTCCCGTCCTCATACGCCATTGAATAAAGGGTATGACAAACAGGCGCACCAAGCCATAATAGGCAACTGTGCCTCCGCCCTCCCCAATGGCTGCGCTTTAGGCGATGACTCTTTTTCCTCCTTAGGAGAGGAGAACCTTCTGGACCTGGTTCTCTCTCTTATCCTTCAAATTGTTTCTGGCCGTAAAAACACCTTACCGTCCAACGTTGCGCAAAAGCTTTCCCAAATCTCGCAGTTAACTTGCAATAATAATGTCGACAGAGGTAGTCCAATGGAACTGCAAAAGCATTAGACGTAAAAAACACGAATTAACTTTTTTGATTAATAAATATTCTCCATCGGTCCTAGCCGTCTCGGAGACATGGCTGGTACCTGGTTCACACTTTCGTGTATCAGGTTACTCGTGCCTCCGGGATGATAGAACCGATGGTTACGCGGGAAGTGCCTTACTTGTAAGGCGCTCTCTCCGTTATACCCAACTTCCTCTCCCCTCACACAGTCAAGACATTAATGTCGTGGCCGTGCGAGTATTTGACATATCCTTTCTATCCGCTTACATTCCTCGTCCTAACTCTTCCTCTATTAATGAATTACGCTCTGCCATTATATCCCTTCCTCCTCCTGTCCTCATTATGGGTGACTTAAATGCCCATCACGTCTCATGGGGCTCCTATCACTCTGACTCCCCTGGATCATTGCTTTTGGATCTTTTGGATGATTTGGACCTCTGCATTTTGAACAATGGCTGTCCAACGAGAAGATGTGCGCCGTCTCAAAACCCAGCGTCTGCCGTGGATGTTTCGTTTTGTTCACCTAATTTGAGCTCAATTCTTTCCTGGAGTGTTCTTAAGAGCACGTTCGGTAGTGACCATTTTCCAATTTTAATTTCTCTACCGAATAATAATTCTCTAATAAATCGCCCCCCTCCCCTCTTAAAATATAAAATAAATAACGACGATTGGTCAGGCTATTATGCGTCGGTTAGAGAAAAACTGAAGGACCTACCTAACGTCACTAACGAGAACGCTCTTGATGTGTACTCGGAGTTTGTGAATACTCTGCTGGCATCAGCTGATGCTCATATTCCCACAAAAAACCCATCTAGGAAGGTATCACCTCCCTGGTGGGATGCAGAGTGTACTGCTAGTGTCCAAAATCGTAAAGAGGCTGAAAAAAGATACAATCGTTCAATGACCATGGAGAACTACATCTTCTACCAAAAAACTGCTGCGCAAACCAGAAAATTCCTGGCCAAAAAGAAGAGAAAGGGCTGGATTAAGTTCTGCGAGACTATGTCTCCAAGAACTCCTTCCTCAATAGTTTGGAAGCATATCAAAAGATACCGTAGGTCTTTATTACCAATTAATGCTCCATCAAATGACCCCTCAGCCTGGTTAAATGCTTTTGCTGACAAATTGGCCCCTCCTTTTGTTCCTTTCATGGATAGCTTCCCTTCTCCCAGTAGTTTTCTTCCTCATACAAACAACCTCGATAGGCCCTTTTCATTTGAAGAACTGTCATTGGCTCTTGACGGTTTAAAGGATTCTTCCCCAGGGGTAGATGGAATCCCATACTCTTTTATATTAAAATCCCCCGAAAAAGCCAAACATTACTTTCTCGACACCATTAACTCTTTTCATGATCTAGGTTCTCTTCCGGAATCTTGGAAACAACAGATAGTTATTCCAATCCCCAAACCAGGAAAAGAACCTTCAGACCACAATTCCTACCGTCCTATAGCTCTCTCTTCCGTCCTTCTCAAAATAATGGAGCACATGGTTAAAAACCGCCTAGAATGGTTCTTAGAATCCAGCAACATCTTGCCTAAGTCCCAATTTGGCTTCCGTAAAGGGCTGAGCACTCTTGATAGTTTGAGCATCTTGACAACCGATATCCGAGTAGCTTTCCAAAATAAAGAGTTCCTTGTTGGGGTTTTCCTGGACATAGCCTCCGCGTATGATAACGTTTTGCTCCCATTGCTCAGGCAAAAATTGCACTTGCTGAGTATCCCGGAGAAACTGGTACGTCTCATCTGTAACACATTGATGTCTAGATCAATAACGGTGAGATGCCAAGACTCTTCTGTTAATCGTTTAATATGGAAAGGCCTCCCTCAAGGGTCTGTGCTTAGTCCCCTACTCTATAGCATTTATACATACGACCTAAACAGAACAGTTGACTCTTTCTGCAGCATACTGCAGTACGCGGATGATATATCTCTGTATTACTCCTCCAAATCTATAAACGAAGCAAGCTCTCGTCTAAACTCAGCATTAGATTACCTTAATTCTTGGATGACAGACCATGGACTCTCAATTTCTGTTCAAAAATGTAGTTGCGTTGTCTTCACCAGAAAACGTTCCATTCCAAATTTAGATATATCATTGAACGGCGATAGCATTCCCTGCAACAATCAAGTAAAATTTTTGGGATTAGTTCTTGACACCCGGTTGTCAGGTATCCCGCATTTCAACTATATCCTTGGAAAGGCAGAAAAAGGGTTAAATATTCTTCGAGCCCTCTCGGGTGCCTGGTGGGGTGTTCATCCTTATTCCCAAAAGCTACTATATACATCTTCTACCAAAAAACTGCTGCGCAAACCAGAAAATTCCTGGCCAAAAAGAAGAGAAAGGGCTGGATTAAGTTCTGCGAGACTATGTCTCCAAGAACTCCTTCCTCAATAGTTTGGAAGCATATCAAAAGATACCGTAGGTCTTTATTACCAATTAATGCTCCATCAAATGATCCCTCAGCATGGTTAAATGCTTTCGCTGACAAATTGGCCCCTCCTTTTGTTCCTTTCATGGATAGCTTCCCTTCTCCCAGTAGTTTTCTTCCTCATACAAACAACCTCGATCGGCCCTTTTCATTTGAAGAACTGTCATTGGCTCTTGACGGTTTAAAGGATTCTTCCCCAGGGGTAGATGGAATCCCATACTCTTTTATATTAAAATCCCCCGAAAAAGCCAAACATTACTTTCTTGACACCATCACAACAACATCCCTTTTTTGTCTCCCATAATTTTATTGTTTGTTCTGTTGATATTTTATTTTCATGTATTGTGTTGTCTTATTTGTGATGTCTGTTTGTTTTAGGTATTTAAATTTGCTTAAATTGCAGCTACAAAATTATTTATTTTTATAACCACACTGTGTAAAAGCTGCGCACGTGACATTGGCGGAATAGTGTGCCCTCAGTGGCGAAAAAACGCAAGTTCATCGCCATAAACCAAAGAAGAAGAAGAAGAAGAAGAAAGTGGTGTTGTGTTTGGTTTTTGTGAAAACCACTATTTCTACTGTAAAATAAGCAAGAAATAATTAATAATCACACTGGTTTCTGTAAAAAAGACTATTCTTAGTGCAAAATAATGTTGAAGATTTAATTCTGAGAGATTATACTTGGTGCGATGGATCTCCGCGGGGGCTCACGTATTTTCGTGGTGTTGTTGTTTTTTGCATCCTGTAATATCGTAGAATGCTTGAACTATGATGGTAAGATTCCAGTCCTTTTATACAATTTGCACGCTTATCACCATTAGCCTTGATAAGCTTGTTTCAACCTACTTTAAGTTTAGGTGTTTATTTTGATAGAAATCCTTATGAGCTGTCTTATTTTTTCCACAAACCTACCTAAACATTTCTTGAATTATGCATGATAAGTATTTTTTTAGAGTGTAGCTTCATTATTATCAATTTAGGAACTCGCTGAGGAGAGAAGAAACAATAGAACTTGTGAATTTACAACTGTTTTGTATTTATGAAGACCTGCTACCTCATTAGCTATTAAAAATCTTAGCTTAATGTTCTCTGTGTAAATAATAATGATAATATCTTAAAATGTAACAATGATTTCAGTGCATTGGTTAGAAGGGACAACTACAATAGAGAGAGAAGCTCCATCTTCTATGAAACAAAAAGTTGATATTTACTGCTTTCCTGGGATATCAAAAAATCTGCTAGCCCTATTCCAGACAGTCAAAGTAAGTGAATAAATAATGAATTTTATGTGTAAATTTTCATAACAATATACAGTAAAATCCCAATTATCCAGATCAATTGAAACCAGGGGTATTCCGGATAATCGATTTCAAAGTAAAATCAAACAATAGTTAACTTTTTACAATAGGTTTAGAGCACCAGACCCTAAATAGGTAATTTTAACCGTGGAGAATGAGTCCAGATAATCGAAGTCCGGATAATCGAGATTCTACTGTAAATCTTTTAGTCTCCTTTTTAACATAAGATAGCTGTAATGTCATAACCTATAAAATTGAATGCATTTCAGTTCCACGTGAAAACAAAAAGCAATGATGAGTTCAGCCAGTATGTTGGGACGAACCCAGAGGAAGTGTTCAAGGACTACACCGAGGACAGTTACGGCTGGTCGTCCGTCATCAGTCCGTTTCAACGGAGAGCTCAGAAGTCGTTGTATCTGGATCTGTTCACTCCCACATGCATGGCCATTAATACTAAACAGAGGCACAGCATTGAGTTGCAAGTTATAAGTAAGTTTATCTTATAGTAATTAGTTTTTTTTAAGGTATTTAGGAAGACCAAGGTTTTTATAACTACTTTTTTAATGGACTAACCTGCTGGAGCACTTATTGAGTCACACAAAGAACCTGCCAATGTCAGATTTTTGCAAGTACAGTAGTACATTTTAGCACTTTTGGAAAAATACAATAAAAAATGTATTTATGGAATGTGGAGATGTTGGCATTATTCTTCATTATTGCAACATATTATTGACAATCATAGTTGTGGTTTTAATTTCTTTAATTTCTCATGCTATTAAGTAAATTTTATATTAATGTAAAATTGCAATTAATAATAAGATTTTGTATTAACAACTATATTAAAACCATTTTATTTGTATTTTCCTTTAGGAGTAGATATCTGGAGGGTGCTCCTGATGATCCTCGGACTAGTGATCATCCATTCGTCAAAGGCCCTGAGTGGGAACACGGTATTCTTCTACTTATGTGGCATCTTCATTGGAGTGTTTGCATCCTTTATGGTCATTGTTTACTATGTCAGTAAACTTTTGCCAAAAGTGAGTAAATTTTTCTTGACTTGTGAAATTCCATTTATCACAAAAAGACCGACTTAATCTTATTATTGTAATTTGGCTAATAATAACGTTAGCACTATTAGTTGTGTGCAGTTTTTACTGGTTTACAGATTTGTAAGGGATTTGCAGCTGTATTTTTCCGAAATAAGTGGTACTTACTTATACTATGTACTGTAACTGTAAATAAATCTTTGGGGGAGGCCTATGTTCAGCAGTTGACATCTTTTGGCAGAAATGATGATGATCAGAAATGGTACTTCTCTCAAAATTCATTCAGAGTTCAAAGTTCATTCATTTACCATCAGGCTCTTAAAAATTAGGGATCGATTGTGATAACGGGCATAAGTAGCTCAGATGGAAGAGCAGTCGCCCGGCCAGGCCGGCAAGCGAAAAGTCGTGGATTCGATTCCCGCCTTAGACAGTTATTTTAAAAATATCTAAAAATCTCTTCCAGAAAACCCTAACCTACGGCATCCTGATCGGCGGCTGGACAGTCGGCGTCTACGTGTTCCAGCAAGTCTGGGAGAATCTGCGTACGATCGTGGCGTCGTACCAAACATACATGTTCTGGTACACCACGATCGTCAGCTTCGTCAGCTTCCTCATCTGCTATAGAATCGGCCCGCCTAGAAACGAGCGGAGCAAGAATATTGTTATGTGGACTTTGCAGGTAAGTTTGAAAATGAATAATAAATTCCTGCTTGAATTGATATCAAATCCAAGCCTTTCTAGGTACGTTCAATTGCAATCTAGACATCAGAATAGACATTTTTGTTGCAAAATACCATGGTTTAGAACAAGATTTGAGATGCCACTGTCAGGGTTCGAAAGGATAATATCAACGATAATTATCATGATAATTATCGTGATAATAACAAATGGATAATTATCGGTTGATAACAACAAAAAAATGCGCTCGTGAAAATTTACTGTATTCGAAGTTTTCGAACGTGTATATCTGTACTTGCGTCTAGTGGTCGGCGATAATCAACATAGATAGTTAAAAACCTATCTATTTAACTCCACATTAATCACTAGTTATCGAGAGTCAAAATATTTATCTATTTTCCAAGCTTTATGCGACTAGCGATGGATAACTTAACAACAATCAGCAACCAAAAACATAAAGCAACTTTTGCGCGAAATTTCTTATGAAACAATATGACTAATGTATCTTATATTGTTAATAATTATCCGATAATTATCATGAAGCGTAATTATCTTGATAATTTCGAACCCTGGTCACTGTGTTTAGTTTGATATGCTGTTGTCACTCCTTTCCCACTTCATTGATAAAGTTCTTTATCCATTAAGAGCCAAAGCACACGATGCTTTCTTAAGATTTTTGATTGCTTTGTAATGAGGATCATTTCGATTTTTAGCTGTGTATGCAGATTTATAGGCTAAGAAATCCTTAATACACAGTGCAAAAATTTTTGTTCTAAGACAAAAATTGACGAAGTTATGGCCAAATTACTAAAAAAGTTCACTGACCGCCCGGCGCGGGGACGATGACGTCATTATATCCGATCCGAACGCTGCCGGCGTACTGCGTGGATAGAAAATATTTTTTTCTAGCCAAATTATCAGTTTTAGAGAAAAACTTGTAATGACATTTATTCATCAGAATAAAGTAAGCTATCGATAGGTAATTTTTAAAAATGGAAATTGTGAAAAATAACGCAAAAAATCCATACACACATACGATTCAATGGCACGCAGAGACGCGATTGGGGTCTCCGCGGTGGTATATTTGGCGATTTATTCAAATAAAGTGTACATAAGTGTTGTTAGAGTCATATCTTCTTCCAAGTAAAATATAAAAATGTATAAGTATTAATTTATTTACTTCTAACAATAAGGTATAACTTCTATATTATATTGCTAATAAAATACAAATATTTTTAAAAAAATATTCTGCATATGTAGTATGCGTAATATGGATAACCTTGAAGTGTCATACGGATCATCTTACGTGAAAAAGACTATAACAATAAGACATTGCTATGAAAATCATTTCGATGTACACTTAATAATACCTACCTGTTATTTAGTTTTTCTGAGTTAAACCTACGCACCTACCTATCTATTCGCCGTTCCCATGGGCGGGCCAGCTGCTGCAAGAAAAGACACCCCCCCCATGCCAGAAACTGGGTATGACTTGACCCCCCCCCCTCCCCCAGGCCATAAGCTGGGTAAGGCTAGCCCCTCCCCCCAGGTATTATTATGTTCAATACAAACAATCATTAAGTTACACTCACCCCAACCGCGTCTCCGCATTGCATCGAATCCTATGAAAATGTGGTTTTTGGACATAGCAATACTTATTTTTCACAATTTTTATTTTTAAAAATTACTGGTCGATAGGTTACTTTATTTTGAAGAATAAATGTTATTAAAAGTTTTTTTCTAAAACTGATAGTTTAGGCGGAAAAAAATATTTTCCATCCCATTAGTACGCCGGCTGCGCTCGATTCGGATATAATGACGTCACGCGGCCTTGCGTACGTTGACTTTTAGCGGCAAAAACGGCCTATGTTTATTACTTAATATCTTCGTAAGTAATGGTCCGATTTGGATAATTCAAAAAGATATATCTTTCTTATGTCTTAAAGATTAACGTACATACTAGTTTTATTGAATTTTCTACAACAGTACTGATCCTCATTGAAAGAAGTAGTTTAATTGAGTTGACAAAATGGTGACGTCATTGCTTTATTTGCCATACAAAATCTACGGCAGTCTTGTTTTGACAGTTTTATACGGTTGACTGTATGACGGACTGAGTTTGTTGCGGCGCTTCTTCTCAGCACTTGCCAAATTTTTGTCTCGAAGCGCTGGTAGGGCAAAAAAAGAATGAGACATGTATAGGCTCCTTAAGAGCATTTGACGATTTGCAAGTAAATAAAAATAAAGATACTTTTTTTTTAATAAAGTACGTCAATTGCTTGGTGTTAAATACCGTATTCTTCGTCCATTCCAGGGGGTGGGCATGATGACGGTGTTCTTCAGCAGCGACTACCGGGAGGCGTCGGCGGCGGTGGTGCTGGTGTCTCTAGCTGTTAAATACTTCCCCGAGTCCTTGCTTCGTATTGTTAGGGGATATTGGTAAGTGGCTGATGGAGTTTTCAATATTTTCGCACAAAAACCTACACGACAAGCTGGGTTAGTAGTAGTTTCGCACGATTTTCCTTCGTACGAATGTGCGAAACGTCCCCTTTCAATAAAAATTTTTTTTTAGTAGGCGTTTCGCCCGGATGTATTAAACGTATTAAAATCGCGATTACTAGTTCTCAAAGAGGTCGATTCGCACCCGTTTTTAATACTTTTGAAAAATCCGGGCGAAACGACCTCTTTGAGAACTAGTAATCGCGATTTTAATATGTTTAATACATCCGGGCGAAACGCCTACTAAAAAAAAATTATTATTGAAAGGGGACGTTTCGCACATTCGTGCGAAGGAAAATCGTGCGAAACTGCTACTAACCCACTACACTATGTCCCATAATGTCCACTGTTGTAAAGAATTTAGATTTTGAGCCAATTAATATCTTAAAGTATTGATTAGGTTTTGTAGGGTCAAAAGTACTTAGAAGATGAAGTCACATTATTTTAAGCCAATTTCTTAAAGCGATGCTGGCTACTTTTTGCAGTGTTAATAACTTCCTACTACCAGACTTGGGTAATCTATGAGAATAGTGTTTTCGAACATCCCAAGAGATTTCAAACTGTATAATGAAAGTAGCCTGATCAGTGACCGTATTTCCATTAGAACATTAAAAAGAACATTTATCTAATGTTCTTTTGAGTCAATTTATCACTTAACTACAACTCTCGTTATTTATACATTATAATTTTTGCGTATCAAATCATCCTCCCGTTGTTTCATTTAATTAGTTTTTTAATAGGCCGGAAGGTCGCTTAGTTCTTTCTATAAGCCGAAAAGGCGAGTAGTAGTTTATCATGCACCATACGCCAAAAAAAACGGGACTATTCCCACCTCTCGTTCCCACCACTGCAACTCCTGTGTAGCCAGGATCTGCAGCTTGACCGCCACAAAAACCCAACCAATGAAGGTCAAGTTTGTCCCGGGGGAAAGTTAAACTGTCATTGGACCCGCAACGAAATTAATCAGAAGAACATAGGAGTTCGAAATTAAGGTTCGACTTCCCTCCATTGCAAAGCGGATGACAGGTGACAAACAAAGGTTTAAAACCTTTAAGAAACCACCATACGCCAAAAGATTACTGTTATTTATTTATAGCATTCACAAAGAAACTTACAACTATTATTTTTAGGCTAGGCGCAGACCACCGATTTTTAGTTGGCCGATAGTTGGATCGGGCTGTTGATCAGTATGAAGATGTATGAAAGTGCGCACATTACACCGATTTGGTATCGGCCGATACAAAATGGAATCGGGCCCAACTATCGGCCAACTATAAGTCAGTGGTCTGCACCTAGGCTTAACTTAAACATTTATCAAATTCAAATTAATGTAATAATTATTATTTATACTTGTCAATTAATGTTAAATTAATATGGAGAGCGAGGATATTGTACCACAAGTATTTATTTACTTAAAATAATTCCTCGATCGAAATATAGAAATGTAAAAACACCTGTTTATGAATAAAGAAATTTGATTTGATTTTCCAGGCTCCGCAAATTCCCCCCACAAAGGCGCCTTCTCACTAACGAAGAGTATTACGAGGAAGGGGCTCGAGAGACAAAGAAGGCTCTGGAAGAGTTACGCAAGCACTGCGCCAGCCCCGACTGCGCACAGTGGTCGATCATGCTTAAGCTGCATGACTCGAGACGGTAAGTCGACGTAGTGACCTAGTGGCGAGTCGCGGAAACTACTGAAGCGAGTGGCCGCCACCGGATACACGTGTGCGGCGCATCTATACAAAATATATTAAAAACTGTGTTAAGTCGCCGTCGCTGGCCACCGGTGGCTGTGGTCGGTAACCCATTTGCGCCGAGCCTAAGATTCGATACGCGACGTTTAGAATATCAATGTTGTCGCAATATTGCCGCAGTTTGGGCAGTATTACCAAAATTGCTAGATACTAGGGTGAGACTAGCTGGAGAGTGCTCGCGAGACCAAGAAAGCTTTAGAATAGAAGAGTTACGCAAGCACTGCGCCAGCCCCGACTGCGCACAGTGGTCGATCATGCTCAAGCTGCACGACTCGAGACGGTAAGATTCGATTCAGATTCGAGAAGATATAGATAAAATTCTGAACGTCACGTATCATAACTTTTAAAAAAAATAAAACCGACTTCAAATGCGTGAACACAAAAAAAAAACTAAAAATTAAAAATATTGCGTATAAAAAGTTCAACCCCAATTTTCCACCCTTGGGGGTGAAATATTTTCTTCAAATTCGCATGAAACCACCCTTTTGATAATACCTATTCAACAAAAAAATAATCGTTCAAATTGATTTATAATCGGCGGAGATATTGCGTATAAAAAAGTTCATCCCCAATTTTCCACCCTTGGGGGTTGTTTTTTTTATTATTAAATTTAAATGGGACCACCCTTGAGGTATTACCTATACGCCGAAAAAAGATTTGTTCAAATCAGTTCATAATTGGCGGAGTTATCGCGTAACAAACATAGAAAAAAAAAAAAAACATACGGGTCGAATTGATAACCTCCTCCTTTTTTGAAGTCGGTTGAAAATACACAACGTTCAGAATTTTGATGGTGCCGCAATATTGCCGCAGTTTGGGCAGTTAACAAAATTCCTCGATACTAGGGTAAGGCGGGTTTTAGAATCGCGCTGACCGCCAGCTGATCGTCGGCGCTGGCAGATCAATATGTATGTTTGAAGGGAACGTTCCTGAGTGACGCTGATCGCTCGGCGCCGACGCTTCATGCATTTCGGCTGTCAGCGCTGACGGTTAGCGTGACTTTAAGACTAAACCCTGGTCCGTGAGCACGTAGAATTTTGTCCAATGACCCCAAGCTACCCATCCTTATCGCTCGCGCGTAATTATATTGCTGTCGCGACTGTGCGACGCCCGCAGTGAGTGTGCGAGCGATAAGGATGGGTAGCTTGGGGTCATTGGACAAAATTCTACGTGCTCACAGACCAGGCTTTAGCTGGAGGGCGCTCGTGAGACCAGGAAGGCTCTAGAAGAGTTACGCAAGCACTGCGCCAGCCCCGACTGCGCACAGTGGTCGATCATGCTTAAGTTGCACGACTCGAGACGGTAAGATTCGATATGCGAAGTTCAGAATTTCGATGGTGCTGCAATATTGCAGTTTGGGTAATACCAGGCCTGTTCATCTCCGCGAGTTTACATCGAAAACAAAACAAGCACGATGGCCCACCTACAGGATTACTATTGACTCACGCACGCGTATTCTTGTGTATGATGGAAAAAAATAAAGAAAATGGTGTACTAAATACTGTGCAGTATTTAACTGCCTAAATAATAATAAAAAAACAGAATGTACGTTTTTAAGTTGCCTGAAGACACTGAAAGGTAAATAAGTGGTTAATGTTATTCATGATAATTCATGCTTAATCATGTATTTCCTCCGCCATTTTCTGTAGTTTGGCACCTCACGTCACTCATCATTTTACCGAAGTCAGCCCTATGACTTCGGCGCAGTACCGATCACTGACGTTTGTCAACAAAATGGTCTTGAGACAAGCTAAATTACACCATATTGTTAATGACATTGAGCATACATTTTTTTAAATACCTTCGCGAAGTTAAGTTTCTTATTATTATTATTCTGTGGTAATACTGCTAAAATTGCTCGATACTAGGGTAAGACTGATTTCCGAAGTAACAAGCTATGTTACTTCGGAAATCAGCCGCATTGGCAATATTGTCAAAAGTATTCAACTCTACGAGTTAAGTTTGGGTTGTTGCTTTTGTACGAGACAATTTTGAAATATGCTAAAATTGCGGCAACATTGAATTTATAAATGTTGTGCTCTTGAATTTTGTTTTAAGAATCTAGACGACGATTACTTACCAAATGTAGATACATACATACATCATACATAGATTTTATAGGCAATTGACGTGCCCTCTTGGAAATTTGCGACGTCGCCATTTTGGTAGAAAATGAAAGGTGAAGGTTGGATACAGTAATGACTGTATCCAACCTTCACCGGGTGGCGGGAACGGGAAAAAATATTTTGTATCTGAATCATAAGGCATGGCTTTATTATACTACTATTCCTAGCACTTCATTATAACATCATGTTATTAACCATTTTACCAACTGCTTGATCACACGTCACATTAGATGCTTGAGCCTCCCTCCCTCCACAGGTCGACCCCCCGCCCCGCAAACTCGCCCTTACCATCGCCCACAGTTCGTTACACAACACCCAAAATTAACAAGTAAGTTAGCCGCTAGAGATGCGTTACATCTTTTTATTATTATAAAAAGCAGGTTCACTTCGAGGAATTACTATTGGTGTAGTCCACCTAAGGGGCATTTCACGCGAAGCGGACAGCGAAAATCAAGTCAGGTATTGGATTTTGTTCATATTTGGATTAAATGTACTGCTATATGACCTGAATGGATGTGCATCATTATAATTTTTTTATGAAGCTTAGTTTATTTTTTATGAGCGTTCAAAAAATTGGTAAAATTTTAGGAACAGATTTTTCAGAAGCTATTACTGCTATTATTACATTTGATTAAAAATAAACCCACTATTGGACTTTTGAGAATAAATAACTGTGTTTCTTACTATTTACTACAAATTTGAAATTTCTTTTTTGTTCACATAGAAAACCGGAAGTAAAGTTTTAAAATCAAATTTTACAAAACTTCGGTATTTTTAAAAATTTTAATTTTTATTTTAAATTATACCTAGTAGTCTATAAATAACGTGTGTAAAGTTGTAGAATGGAGTCTGTATTGGTTTTTGATTTAGACGCAGTACAGTGCGAGCGCGCCGCAATGAGCGCCATACTGGCTATCGACATTTGGCTACTGTATAAAAATTATTTGTTCGAAAATAACTGAAACGTTAATATTGTTGCATGCATACTCTTAAACAATTATAATTTTGACTCGGCGAACTTTGTACCGCCTAAAAACAATGATTGTTGGCATTGAGATGGTATTACGTCGCAGACCACCCACAACTTATTGGATAATACTCTTAAAACATTACCCTTCTTTTTGGGTAGTCGGGATATGTTAGTCGAGGGTGCCAGCTATCTCCATGCCAAATTTCATTAAAATCTGTTCAGCCGTTCTTTGTTTTATACATAAAACAAAGTCGTGTTAGTTACTCGATTTATAAGTCAAGAACGGCTGGACAGATTTTGATGAAATTTGATATGGAGGTAGCTAACCAACTACCTAAAAAAGAAGAATAATGTTTTTAGTGTATTATTCAATAAGATGTGGGTAGTCCGCGACGTAATACGCACCATCTCAATGCCAACAATCATTGTCTGTTAGACGGTACGAAGTTCGCCGAGTCAAAATTATAATTGTTTAAGAGTATGCATGCAACAATATTAACGTTTCAGTTATTTTCGAACAAATAATTTTTATACAGTAGCCAAATGTCGATAGCCAGTATGACGCTCACTGCGGCGCGCTCGCACTGTACTGCGTCTAAATCAAAAACCAATACAGACTCCATTCTACAACTTAACACACGTTATTTATAGACTACTAGGTATAATTTAAAATTATTTTTTTTAAAAATACCGAAGTTTTGTAAAATTTGATTTTAAAATTTTACTTCCGGTTTTCTATGTGAACAAAAAAGAAATTTCAAATTTGTAGTAAATAGTAAGAAACACAGTTATTTATTCTCAAAAGTCCAATAGTTAGTTTATTTTCAATCAAATGTAATAATAGCAGTAATAGCTTCTGAAAAATCTGTTCCTGAAATTTTACCAATTTTTTGAACGCTCATAAAAAATAAACTAAGCTTCATAAAAAAATTATAATGATGCACATCCATTCAAGTCATATAGCAGTACATTTAATCCAAATATGAACAAAATCCAAAACCTGACTTGATTTTCGCTGTCCGCTTCGCGTGAAATGCCCCCTAAGGGAATTACTATTGGTGTAGCATTCTCACCAACTTTCAAGCTTATAATATTAGGGAGCGTGCACACGGGTGACTGCGACAAAACTGCCACGTCGCTACGTGCGCGCCGTTTTCTATAGACTTTGTATGAGTGATGAAACAGTCACGGCGACAAGTCACCCATGCGTGCGACTCCTTATCGCGCGATTTGGATTCATTCGTGTAAAGTGGGCCATTCCAGCTAACCATTGACGTTTTTTCTTTCACTCTTATCAAATGGTATTTTTTTGCGATAGAACAAAACGATATCATCGGAAATGGAACTATTACTGTAAGGCCCAGAACACACGGTGAAACGCAATTGCAATGAAACTGCAACTTCTAGTTACTTTTGAGTTGCATCTAAGTTTCTGCCATAGATTCCGTTGAGAGACCACACATGACGCGGCCAGTTTGAAACCGGTTTGAAATGGTCTGAATTGGAAACTCAAAAGTAACTAGAAGTTGCAGTTTCGTTGCAATTGCGTTTCACCGTGTGTTCTGGGCCTAACTGGTATGTGAAACCGAAAACTAACGCACCTTATTTAGCTGCCATAAGTGCGATTTTGCAACGTAAATAGTCTAATCTAATTGATTGTAAAACACCTATTCCAGATTCGCCAGCTTCGTCGAAGGTAACTCCCATTTGTCCGACGAGGAGATCATGGACTTCGAATCCTACGCTTTCTCCATGGACTCGGCTCGTAAAAGGCCCGTCGCGAACTCTACCGGCAACGGTCTTGAGATATCCGACGACGACGAAATATCGGACGACGAGCTTTAGGCCCAGTTTCCACTACAGTGAAGCGGAGCGGAGATGAGAGATGTACGGCGAAGCGGGCAGGCTATTTCCACCAAAGCGGACCGGAGAAGAGCGGAGAGATGTGTGAGCTGTGCGAAGCTGTCAGCTATCAGTCTGAACCACTGTTCTGCTCCGCCTTGGTAAAAACTGGGCCTTAGTCCCAGAACAGACGTTGAAACGCAACTGCAACTTTCTGATGATTCTTATGAATGAAACTGAAACTGAAAGTTTCAAACTGGTCGCGTCATGTGTGGTCTCTCAACGGACGCTATTTCAGAAACTTAGATGCAACTCAAAAGTAACTAGCAGTTGCAGTTTCGTTGCAGTTGCGTTTCACCGTTTGTTCTGGGCCTTAGTCTCGGGGAGTCGAAAACAAGTGACGAGTGATCAAATAGTGTTGTCCGAAAACAAGTGATAAGTGATCAAATGTACTTATGGCCAGTAGTGGCAACAAATGTTAAATGTTGTGATCTCGCATTGGGCGCCATTTAATCATGGATTGTCTATGCCCATTCCTATGTCATATAAATGACAATTCGGTAGTTGACACCATTATCCATTAATTAAAATAATAAATAAATAATAATAAATATCCTTTGACATTTTACACTGCGCCGCTAGCCCCAAACTAAGCAAAGCTTGTACTATGGGTACTAGACAACGGATATAAACATACTTAAATACTTTTTTTTTTTTGTAAAAATCCTATTAGAGTAGGCGCACACCGTTGATTTTTCGTCGGCCGATAGTTTAGTCGGGCAGTTGATCAGTATGGGCATGTATGGGAGTGCGCACACTACGCCGATTCGATTTGACCGATTCTTCATACAAATTAAAATCGGGCACAACTATCGGCCAACTAAAAATCAACGGTGTGCGCCTACTCTTAGATCTCAATAGGCTGGAAAATAGTGGAGTGTGATCTATACTATTTGACATAAAAAGTATGTCAACAGACTGGGGTGGTGTCAACTACCATATTTCGCAAAAATGTATTTCGTATGAATTGAGTTGTGATGTTGTTAATAAATAATTTGTGATAAAAACTGCCTTAAAAACTCCGTGACTTTATGTGCGAGTCTCCATTTTTACAGTCATTATGTATGTGATTTGATTTGTTATTATAAAAATGTAGACTTTTATTGACATTATAAAGGATGTGATGGTGTACTAATTACAAATAACTACTGCTCACAAATTTTAAGATTTCTTCTTTAAAAAAGTAAGAAAATGAATTAAGATCTCAACAATATTAGTGTCTGCTATCTGCTAGTGTGTCAATAAAAGTGGATGTTTATAAATAAATCGACTGAGTAGGTAGTTATGTATTATAAGAAAACAAATATTACTTGTTAGTAATAATTTAATTAGTATTTGTCACATACGTGTATTTTTATACCTTATCACAATGTTAATACATTCTTAAAAGCACCATTTCATGTGTAAAAATATGTTATTTTATGTTTGTATATAAGTGCACTTGCCTTTTTTATTTCTTATGCAGTTGTATAATGTAAATTTAAGTTCCTCTATAATTTCTGTGACATTTTGATTTAAATTATTTGGTTTGTGTGAATAATAAAGATGATTAACTAAATATATTTTTTAAATCATATTAGCAATTAAACAAAAAGTAAGTAAAAGTTAAACATCAAATTGCTCGTTTACCAAGGGCCTTTACAAAACAATGAATACATAAATAACATAATTTTGTCATCAACACAACATATTTCACAAAAATGCTATAAAACAACCATAATAAAATAAATCCTTCAGAACAATATTCGATTAAAATAAATTAATAATAATTCTTAAACATCAATTACAAAGCACACTACTGAATCCATAAGCTTACGATACCTATTACACACACACTGTACGAAGATAGATCCTATAGTCAGATTTTTCTAACAGTAAAATATTTGAATGGCACAGGTTGTAAGGCCCTACCCTGTAAAACTATTTGCATAAACAGCTCACTAATTTTCATGTCTGAAAAATGATGAAATCAGCGAAAAGAGATAAAACTGTAAAGGTGGTCACTTACTACAAGCATTCGCGCGGTTTGTTCGAGAATAAAGTTACACACGAATGGTCACAGTGAGTGGCCATCTTAACCCTTAACTTATAGTGTGAAATTTTGTTAATTGGTTTTGAACCTTACGTCATGTCACTAAAGTTCAAAATATGGTGTCATCAATGCCACCACCAGATTTTTTCTTCTATTTTTATGGTTGCTATGCCTCTTGCCAGTATCAAGTAGTTAAAGGTTTACGAAATAGTTGTACAGGGTAAGCCAGTGTTAGGGTTTGGTTTAGGACTTGGCGCGGCTGGCCTTCTTGCTCTTATCCAGGGTCTGCGGCGGCGGCGGGGGCTTCGCTGACATGTGCCGGCTGTACAATCTGAAATATTAATTGATAATTAATCAGTTTTAATGCCAGCTACTCTGAAAGTAATAGAAATCGGCCAGGTAATGAGACAGGTGGACTTTTCGTGACGTGTTCATGAGTTATCCCGCTGAGCGCTACTGATGTGATATGGCCATTTATCTTCGATCTGTTGTGTTTTCTAGTTGATGCTTACACAAAGCCGATAGGATTTACCTATGGCTTTTATGTGTGACGCGTTTAACGGTTCCGAAATTAAAGGATCAACAGATATCTGGGGGTATTTGGATCAACAGATAGATCTTTACAAAACACATAAATGATACTAGGACGTGATTCGCCTATTCAAGTCATTTTGGCTCCTAATAACATACGATTTAAGTTAAAATCAGCCTGAACTTACACTCTATAGGTCTCGGAGCGCAGGTAATCCAACACGTGGGACGGGCCCAACTTGAGCTGGTCTTCGATGGGCGGCACCCAGAAGTTGCCCTCCAGTCGAAGAACAGCCTTATTGCTGGCCAGGTCTAGGGTACCTGTAATAGGAATTAGTTTGATATGTACTCGTGTTTAAGGTCGATTTTCCTACTCACAGCACCACAAGTAATAAAGTTCATTTTTATATGAACTGAATCAGTTATTTAGATCACGGAAAGCGTTTAAATCTTTGCGTATAGCAAGGGCAAGAATTACCATACAGGGTGCGTGGGCGATACTAACTTCGATAGTGATGTGTAGGTTTTGGTTGTAGCAGGTGTCGTGTTTGTAATGTTAATGCTTTTAATTAGAACATTTACACAGTTGGTACCCTGTCAAGACCCACAAAATTAAATAAAGTAAAAATGTATTTATTTCCAAAAAAGTCTCGTGTCTATTTTAAATCATATTGCGTGGTCCTAAGATACAAAAGATAAAAAAATGGCTAACTCACTAATCTCGGGAGGCGGTCAATCGAATGAGTGGCCTAGGCCTAGGATGTGCGCCGCGTTAAGCGTTTATCGCGCAATTATATCGATTTTACGCGATAGACCCATACATTTTGACGTCTAAAATCATCGATAAGATATTATCACGGTGCGCATCCTAGCGCATTGTACTGTATAGAATAGATTCCTTCGATCATAACTCACCGATTTCTGGTGGCAGCACGACGAGACGGTTGCCCTGTAGATGCAGTTCGCGCAGGCGCGCCAGCTGACCCAATTCCCGCGGGACCTCCACCAGATCGTTCTCACGGAGCGACAGCTGTGACAGAAATAGTCATTTATTTTGAAATGCTTTTATAAAGTGCTTCTCTATTACTATTATTAGGGGAAATGAGCCAGTGCTGAGAAAAAGCAGCTTAGGGATAGAAAATAGATCCTCTAATTGTTATAGGGTCTAGTCTCTAATTGTTATAGGGTCTAGTCTCTATTAGTTATTTAATTTTTTAGCGTTAAGAGTCGCATCTCAAACTATTTTTTTTATGCATAACAAGGCAGGTATTTGACCACAATCGCACCTGATGTTAAGTGATTTGACTAATTTGAAAATTATAAATAACTTAAGTAGCTCTCAGTTGGACGAGCAGTCGCCCGGCAAGCGGAAGGTCGTGGGTTCAATTCCCGCCTTAGGCAATTCGAATTTTTCAAGTTGCTTATAATTTTCAAATTAGTCTCTATTAGGGCTCTAATGGCTAAAAAGGGGAAGAAAACTACATCCTCTGATGTCTGCAAGCCAAAAATACTAATATTAGACCATATACTCACAATTTGTAAATTCTTCAAATTGCCAATTTCGTTAGGCAAGTATTCAAAGTCATTATCACCCAAATACAGGGCTCTTAAACTTTCTGGAACAAAAAGATAACCATGAACATAATGTAGATTAAAATTTATTTTATGATTAATTATTAGGTACCAAATAAATAAAATACAAACCCATCATAAAGAAGTTTCCAGACAGTGTCTTTTCATTCAAGTTATTGTACGTCAAATCCAAAATTTCCAACACTGGGAAGGCTCCGAACCCTCTTGGCAACCCATACAGCCTGTTGAGTGATACATTGAGGATGCGTAGCTTGGGCAACGACGACAGACTCAACGGCAACTCCTCAATGTGGTTGTTCGCTAGGTTGAGGATCTCCAAGTTCATCAAATTGGCTAACGCAGCGGGCACAGTCTGTATTTTGTTGTGACTTAGCGATAACCGGGTTATGTTGGCAAGGTTGACTGGAAATTTATAATATGAGTAATGTTACTTTTTTGATGCATTTAAAAAAATAATTAGAACCTAATCTACACTGTGAAATGCATTAAAGTAGGTATTGAGTTTAACATGTTTTACCATGATTTCCTAATAATAATATATCATGACTTACAGGAAAAAATTGTGTTAGTAATACAATACCCATAAGTAAGCTGATTACAACAAATTCGAATAATTAATGTAGGTTGATAGCTGTTTATTTTTGGACTATGGCATCATAATTTTCTATGAGTAATGGATAGGTACCTTAAATTATTACTAAACAGCCTTTTAACAATTTTTTTTTACATTCATGATCCTCATGGACCAATTAATTTTTCATTCATAAACTAAGTTAGCAAAGTTTTAACTTTTGTAAAGTTTTCATGAATGACAGATGTACTGCAACCAACCTCATATGATCTGAGACTGCAACAAAACTTGTTGGACAGGTAACTTGCTCTAAAAAAGGATAAAACAAGTTTGCTATGAACTTATGATGAACTTACACAGTCCAGGTATTTCTTCGAGGTTAGATATCCCTTTATCCACCAAGTCTATCTCGGGATTATTGATTTCCCTGGCTTCTTCAATCACTTTTTTAGCTTTCGACATCTTTGCTGTGTTTGGAATACACGAAACTGGAGGATGATGACTCATAATGCCTCACAGATGTTTTCCTCCTCGCTTTATCTACCTGTATTATGAAACACATTTCGACTCGACAGCAAGCGTAGGCGTATCGTGAAGAGTATCAGTGTACATTACAGGCTTTAATGGAGTTAAATCGTATCTGTTCCTGACATTAACAGCAATGGATTAGTAATTATTGCTTTTATTAAATAAACGCTTTTGATTGTATCATAGAGAAAAGTAATACTTGTATTACGTACTTCAATCTCAATGCAGATTGGTCATTTATTTTGTGTTTTACAATTCATTGGATAAATCTATGAGTACCTAATTTCTATTGGTGGTCGACAGATTTTTTCGCTTTTTTTGAATGCGTTATCTTATGTCAAATTTGACATAAGTTGGGACGTGCCATTGCGTGTCCAATTTCAACGTCGATAATCATAAAAAATGTATAACTTTCGACAAATAAATTAAAATTATTGAGAAAAAAATAGAAGTTGGTGGTGAAGGCTCTCAGATTTAAAGCGAATATTACTTTTCTGTGTTGATAAAGAAAAAATACATACAAAACGAATTGAGAAACCTCCTTTTGTTCATGTCGTTTAAAAACTATTGAAAAAGCTTATCAGTCCCATTTTAGTCAGTAAGTAACTATTTAAAAGAAAGGTCAACTCAGACTTGACTCAAGAGGGGCTCTGCCCCAAAGAATACTCATACTCCACCAAGAGCTCTGCCGGCCTCTGCCCCCTAGACAAGTGGCAAAACATAAATGCTGCTTTTACATTATGCGGAAATTAGCCAAGCCAAGACTTGACTTGGCTAATTTCCCGCATAATGTAAAAGTTGTCCTTGGTACTATTACTTATTCTGTGCAGTTGTAATGTCAAAAGACGGTCGAAACGAAAGGCCGTTTTTTGTATGGAGCTACACCGCTCCGTGAACAGATTCGATTTTTGCTTCCATCAAAAAGTGCCACTTGTCTAGACCTACTGTTCAATCAATCATTTAAACGTACTTTTCCATAGCTATTACTCATTCGTATAGTCAGGGACGGAAAAAATCAGCGCACACTTTTAACGTATTGTAACAAACAGTGAAATAGTATGTCACATCACTATGAAAAGTGACGTTTGTGTCGGCGGCGACCGAGAGTCGATCACAGATGAGACAGGGACAGATAGGAAACGGCCCTATGATTGGTCCGTTCATAGTAAAAGTTCCGGCATCTATGGACTTCCATTGGGTAGCGCTAAAAAAAAAAAAAGATCATCANTAGTTAATGTATCTCTGTTTGAGTCAATTTTAGTCATAAAACCCATTATTACAAAAAAAATTAAGCCCGGGATGAACCTTAGAGAATTAAACCTCCTCTATGAATGGGATGAACACTGGTTTAAAATTACAATTCCATACTAAATGTCAATTTTACCTAGAGTTTAACTTTTTGTAATAAATAGGTACCCACAATTGAAGCCAACAGAACAGAATAATATAATTATTAACTTTTTGCAATAATTGTTTACAAAATTTCAAGCGAGCGAACATTTCTATTGTCGCAGACTATAAATCCTACTAATATTATAAAGGTCAAAGTTTGTGTGGATGTTTGTTACTCTTTCACGCAAAAACTACTGAACGGATTTGGTTGAAAATTTACAGTATTATTATTTGTAACCCAGATTAACATAATAGGGTATCGTTCGTTCGTTCGTTTCAGCCAAATGACGCCCACAGGGTATAATTTATGCCAATCTGTGGCACTAAATTTCATGCGGGTGAAGCAGCGGGCAAAAGCTATTTATAAAATATAAATGGTACCTAATTAATTTATAAAATATAAACGCTGTTTACAGTAAAAATGATGATTACCTGTAATTGCGTAACACTAGACAGCCATTAACAAAATGAATCATATTTACCGTATTTGCATGTTTATGAGAAACTAGCTGACCCGGCGAACTTCGTACCGCCAGTAAAAATCCAGTTTTAGCGTATCTTCATTAGGGAAAATGAAGGATTCTAATTGTGAAATAATTTTTCAAATTGGTCCAGTACTTAGTTTCGGAGCCTGTTCAATATAAACAAACAAACAATCATATTATGTCCCCTTATACCTAAGTAAAATTTGTGTAGAAAAAAATATACTACGATTTTCTTTAACTTGCGTAAAACTACAAAAGACCTACTTAACAGTACAATTTTCCATAATAAATTATGGTATTAACAAGTAATTATCAGTTTCCAAAAAGTGAATAATGTACTGCAAGTTTCTAAGAAAAAAAAAGACGACAATAAAATTTACCCTAATAGATTTATAAATTATTTGTTTATACAACAACTACGATTTTCTTTGACTCAAGTAAAACTATAGTTTTACTTGAGCATTAACAAAGAAATTCACAATAAGTACATTCTCGAGGCAAAAATAACAAAAAACTTTAGTTGAAAAAACTATACACTGGGCCGGAATCTGAAACAATATGAATTACATTATTATGATTCTTATTACAAATCATAACAGACTGAAGAAGCTGTTTATAATAATAGAAAAAGAACTCAAATTGGCGACTTGTATCCACTGTGTGCACGTGATGTCTGTCGACGCTTATTCCATTCATATTAAACCAGATTAAATTTGGTGTAACATTTACAATATTATTAAGGATAATACTACTACATACTGGGTGATTCTTTTAGGTGTTGCCATTTTTTTATCATTAGACTCACTCAGAATTATTAGTAACTTAATCGATTTACGTAAAGAGCAGATTTTTTATTTATTTCATAATTTATTATTATCAAAACCAGCATGCGTGGACTTATCCATGAAATCACAGTCATTATGGCGCACGAAAATAAACCTTATAGCCTTTACAACTTAAGGTATAAAATATGCACACGCGCATTTTCAACAGATTATAGCGCAGTAGCGTAGTCAATACTGCGTTACCGCAACATATTTATGAACAGCTTATGATTACATTTGTCTGAATTTGTTTTAGATTTGTATGATCGTTAAAACATTTACAATATTTTTTAAAATTGGCACTGTGCTTATATTTATGAACTCGACTGTACATAATTTATATTTAAATGATATTATTGAACGTTTGTCAAACCTACCAAATTTGGTGCTGTATGATTGGGGCAGTTTTTTCACTCAATACCTTCATTTTCTTGATCGTTGACTAGGCAAAATAAATATGTGGCGCAATAGCTCATACGCTTTCGGGCTCCGTTTTAAAAAAAAAACAAAGAGTCCACCTTTTGTTTGTATGTACCGCCTCTTGACTTACTTCACTGCAACAGTCAACTACTTTACTACAACAGTCCTCCATCTCGTTCGGTCTTGAGCTTCTCGCTTGATCTCGCTCCAGGTTTTGCCGATCTTCTTCGCCTCGTCCGCTACAGTGCGCCGCCAAGTTTGCCTGGGTCGACCACGTTTGCGTTTTCCTTGGGGATTCCAATCCAGAGCCTGCTTAGGGATGTGATCGGGGTCCCTTCGGAGTGTGGCCAATCCAGTTCCACTTGCGGCGCTTGATCTGCTGGTCGATCGGAATTTCGTGGCAGCGTTCCAATAGCTCGACGTTGGAGATTTTCTCGGGCCAGTATATGCCGAGAATTCGGCGAAGGCAGCGGTTGATGAAGACCTGCAGCTGGTGCGAGATAACCTTTGTGACCTTCCACGTTTCACACCCATAGAGCAGAACGGATTTAACGTTGGACCCGTATATTTTGATCTTGACCCTTCGGGTCAATTTCCGTGACTGCCATATGGGGCGAAGTTGTGCGAAGGTAGCTCTGGCCTTGGCAATGCGCGAAGTGATGTCCTCTTCGGTACCTCCAGTTTCTGACACGACGCTCCCGAGGTAGGTGAAATTGTGGACTCGTGCCACATCCTCTGCACCAATCCGTAATGGCGTGCAATTTCTCACACCAGATCGCATCTCTTGGGTCTTCCGGCAGTTAATTTTGACCCCTGTGATACCCGCTTCTCGATGTAGGTCATCAAGTTTGGACTGCATATCGCGATGCGTGTGGCTCAGCAAACAGAGGTCATCGGCATAATCTAAGTCTTCTAAGACTCCGATTATACCCCACTCTATTCCACGCCGTTGGTCTTGAAATGCGCGATTCATGACTCCATCCAAGACAGTACCGCCTCTGCTTGATGAGTTTCTTTGCAAGCTGAACCTGAAATAATTAATAACAATAGTATATTACATGTATTAATCATAATTATAAACGCTTTCTTAAAATTAATTATCTACTTTGAAAAAAGCATCAAAATGAAACTGAAATACTTAATATTAATAATTGTAGAAGAATACTANACCATCTACACCTGGAGACGAATCAGTTACATTTTGGATGATTCCCTTGAGTTCAAACAGTGTAAATGGCTGTTCAATAACAGACACAGCGACTGGCGATGGAGTTATAATTAGTTTTTCAGGGACCCATGGAGGAGCCAGTTTATCAACAAATGGACAAGCAATTTCTAACGGGATAAATGGGTGGGAAGAATCTGTCATTGCAGATTTAAATCGACGAATGTTTTGCCATACTATCGAAGATGGCGTTTCAGGGGAAATTGATAAGCAAAACTTTCTCCAGCTCTCAAACTTTTTCTTTTTAAAAAGTTCTCGAGTTTCTTCTATAACTTTACCCAATTCTGAATAATTTTCATTTGTCATATTTGCTTTATAGTTGCGCTCAGCAGCCTTTCTTTTTTTGATGGCCTCTGTACAGTCACTGTCCCACCATGGTTGTGGGGGAAGCTTANCGGTGTCAAATCGGAGTTTTTGGTGCGGGGTACGCGGGTGTTGCTCGCGGCGTGAAGGTCAAACGCCCAAGGTCATTGAGGACTCTAATCGCCTTAACAACTGCGCCCATGCAACCTCCCCTCTATTAGCCCCTCCACTTCACTATAATACAAATACGTTCATCTCTTTAACTTAGCCTAATTCATTAAAAGTACCCAGTACCTAGTTGGAGTTCATTTTGCTTGTGTTAGGAAGCACCACCGCACCGTATACAGCAAACAATAATTCGCATTTGCTTTGTTTTTGATATAGTCTTTGTAATTGTACAGACGACAGCACAACAGAATTTAATTCACAATAGATATATTAGAGAGCATACACATCACAAGTGTAAAAAAGATAATACTGAGATTCCAGCCCATATTTATAAATACCATGTAGATAACAGAAAACATGTTTTCTTGAGCACGTTGACAACTTATTTTATATTGGGTATCATATTCGAATGGGATCAGAAAAAACAATGCACGTACAGTCTCAAGATTAAATTAACTATTTCAATTAACGCTTAAGCACAAGACAAATTCGTCATTTTAATTTTAAGTGTGTGAACACGAATCCCTCTTTTTATTCACTTATATACTAGATCACTCATATTCCCTAAACAGATACAAATAAGTATACGTATTATTAACTCACCTAGCTAACACTGAAGTCACTCACTTTAAGGAAATCCATAAAAACTTTCACAAAAACGTACACAACAAAATATATAGGGTGTTAGGTAAATGGGTATATGAGCCGACACTAGCCCATGTTAATATGGTCATATAAATGGTATGGCAAAGTTAGAAAATTGATATCTTCATTTTAATTATTTTAATTTTCATACAAATCGGATTTAATAAAATTTATTTTGTATGAAAATTAAAAAAATTAAAATGATGATATCAAATTTCTGACTTCACCATACCATTTATATGACCATGTTAACATGGGCTAGTGTCGGCTCATATACCCATTTACCTAACACCCTGTATGTGTATATGCCGATGAGCACTACTCATCACTTGCCCAAACCCGCGCATGACTCCGGTAATAGATAAAATGCTATCATGTCTGATAATATAATCGTTTTAGCCGTCAAATTCGTAATCGATGATTGTGTTAAAAACAACATACGATAATGTAGACGCAACTAATTTTCACGTAGTCCAAATACACCAGTACATCAGTTCTGACTTGAGAAGTAATTAAAAAGTCCAATTAATATCAGTCAATATACAAAGTTGCATGGAATACTGCTGCCACCTCTGGGATGGCTCTGCCAAGAAACATTTGGCTGCTCTGGATTCGGTGGAAAGACGTGCCAGAAGACTTATCGACAGCCCCACCCTTGTCGAAGCGTCGCTCCAGGAACTTGACCATCGCCGTAAGGTAGCACCCTATCGGTTTTTTACAGGCTATACTTCGAAGAATGTGCGAAAGAATTACACAAACTAATTCCACCAGCCCCCTTCCATCATCGGGGAACCAGACGCAGGTTAGCGTACCATCCCTATATTGTTGACATTCCACCAGCTCGCACTAAGCATTTCGATGACTCTTTTAGAATGCGAACAGCTAGGGACTGGAATTCACTGCCTGCTGCTGTATTTCCCGAAGACTATAATCCGGGCATTTTCAAGGCGAGAGTGAATAGGCACTTACAGGGCAGATATGTACCATCCTAGACTGCATCCCACTTAACATCAGGTGCGATTGTGGCCAAATAACTGCCTTGTTATGCATAAAAAATATGACAAATTCTACAAAATTGATAGTAAAATGTATAGTTACCCGAGCCTTCATCGTTGCTGGCGCACGCTGGGACGCCTTCTTCTTCATTCCCTGAAATAATAAGGAAAGGTTTAGTAAAATCACCAGAAATTCTTTATATAACTTGTATTTCATTAACAAACATAAATGTTAATCTTAAACTGTCACATATATTTCTTTATCAAGGGAGGCTCTACAGCGTTATTATAAATACATTTAAAGAGGAGCCACCTGTAAAAAATGTTATCTCTACTTCATTTTTAAATTCAGTAAATGAGGTGCATGAAACATGTACTGACGCATGCACTGGTGCATACATTCATCGATATAATTTGATTAAATTGCGCACGAGTAGATAAAAAAACGTGTGTCAACTTATTTATTTTGAATTTGTACTCAAATAGGTATGCATTTTATAGTGGCCCGAATAATTTAGCAATATCACGTCAGACTTGACAACAAACAAAATGACCTCGCCAGAGTTCCGTTATTCAATAATGGAGCCAAAAAAACTTAATAACCGCGTAGAAACAAACCAACAATACGCTATTGCGTTACATCTATTGCACTTATAAATCATATCTGAATTGATCAACCCTCCACTGCTAACCGTCTTGAGACGGCCAACGGTACAACACCTTTCCACCCACTTAGGGTCAAATAATACCCGGCCACGCGACATGACACAAAGCGTGCACTTCAAGCCATCATTACCGGCAGAAACAAGACTACAGCTGCCTTCCTACTTCCTTTCCATACAAAACTGTGTAATACAAGATGCAGCATTGTATGGTTTATTTTAGGGCTCATTCATTATTTGGCGCGTGTTATCTTTGAATGTTTGTGCGCCTGCGCGTGCCGCGAACTAGTTCTATTGTGGCCGCGTCCGCTACAAAGGCCCGTCTTTATTAGGCTGTGTTTTATTTCTATGGTAATGAATCTGTCATGGACTATTAGATTCAGAACGCTTTGATACTTGAATGTTGTCAAAAACTGACTTCAATCCGGAAATTAAAACATTCCATGTCCATAAAATCGAATTGTTACACAATCCATATTATGATATCATGTTCTTATCTGTATTTATTGATAAGCTATCTCTATCGTTGTTTCAAATCAGCTTTATCTTTCTTCGTCGTTATTGATTATTCGTAAATTGTTAAATAAATCTATTTATTGATACTTCAATACGTGTAAATACAATAGAAAATCGATCGTCTTAGGGTAGCGTGATTATCTATACGAGGTTGTTATAAACATGATACCAATATTACGGCTGATTTTGCCACCTTGCCTACCGGCAAATGTCTTACAAGACGGCGACGTTTGCATCGAAACTCAAATTCAATCATCTTTTATCAAAAAAACTCTTTACAAAACCAAAGACTATCAAAAGCTGAGGTCAATAAGCGTTCATCAGGCGGCCTGTACCAATATGCCTCAATAATTCAACGATAATTTGTTTTTGCGACAGATTCGGTGGTGATATGATATTGTCGCGGCGTTCGTGGTAGGGGTGGACTGGTTTGAAGACGGAGCCATCTGTCGGAGGGCGGCGTCTTCCGCTGCATTGTGCGCGCACCGGGCGCTGCGCACGCGCCGTGCAAGACGCAGCAGGCTCATCCGCCTTTGGATAAGGTCATAGAACTGCGAAAAAGGACAAGCTGCGTCTTGGCGTTTAAACGGTCCAATATAGCAGTTCTTATTGGAAAGATTTGCGCCATTTCACCAGAAGACACAGATAGTGAACACACGATTAAAGACGATCGGAGCCGAACGGTTTAACATCCAATGACATCAAACCGGTAATTATCCAAAGGTGATTTTATCTAGTTGTGTTCCATACCTGGAAATAGAATACAACGTGATGGGCTTAAGACTTTC